TTGTCCTCATTTGTAAGTCGCTTTGGATAAAAGCGTCTGCTAAATGACTAAATGTAAGTAAAACAATTGAAAGTGGGGGGAAAATCTCATTATGAAATAAATGTTTTTCTCCAATGCATGTTGGCCACAATTACTGGCACCCCTAGAAATTCTTATGAGTAAAATATCTCTGAAGTATATATTTACATTTTTTATAGCACACCAGGGTGACTAGGAGCGTGAAATTGTCCAGCCATGGCTTCCTGTTCCACAGGATTATAAATATGAGGAACACAAAGGCCAAATTCCCTTAATCATCCATCAGACGTTTTAGTGAAGGAAGTGATGTGTGAGCCTCACCGCTGGCGTCTGCTGTCGGCACATGAACACGATGAAGATGACGCCCAGTAAGATGCCTACACTGATCACTATGAAGGGGATGTTGACGATCACATTAGCCTCGGTAACAACCGCATACAGCTTCTTGGCAGATTCCTCGTCAATAAGGACGCTCTGGAAAACAGGATGGAAGCGTTTAGAAGATAAGAAGAGACAGAAATGAAGAAAAACACTTTCATATTTCCTGCTCAGGCGCTTTGTTGTTCTGTCTGATAATGTGAACTCAAAATAACTGCTTTAGAGTTAAGATCTCATTCGACAGAACTATGATCTTTTTCATTTAGTGCACTTTTATCCAGAAAAAAAAAAATCATCTAATCCTCTAATGCTGAGACTGGTTTATCTCTTTATTTTTAAACATGAGTCAAGCTGATGCAACCACATCTCTCTCTGCTTCATTTACTCTTTCATGCCTTGTGTCGTTCAAAGGTTAATATACATTTTGCATCGTGTTTGGACGCTTTATCTGTTGCACTTTTCACCTGATTTTGCATCTCAACAAAGCAACAATACACATGTGATGAAAAAGTCAAGACAGAAGCGCTTGACCCGTCGGGACTGCAGCTTCACAGAAAATCATGATATTCATGTTTATAATATCTTATTATCTTCATGCCTTACAGTTGCCTTTAGCAAGTTAGATCTGGATGATAACAGAGTTGAATTTTGTGACGATATATAAACAATCCAGCAGTTGAGGTTTGCTATATGATATTTGTGGCTTTATGTGAGAGTGAAAAAAAGTGAAAGTGACGTTTTTCAGTCATTTTTCTGGGAAGTGAGCCCATGACCTTGACATTGCAACTATTTGAGTTTATCTATTTGAACTGGACAGGAACACATGTTCTGACACGTAGACAAACTTGACATGCTATAAAAGCCTTGTAGAAAAATACAGATGATGATTTTCTAAAAATTTACCTCATTAAGGTACATCACTGGAAACACCAGCATCCGGATCTTGCCAGTTTGACTGCAAAACAAAAAAGAAAATATGATTTTGATGGTATGTGAAGATGTTTTGAGCAGGCTTATTATAGAAGATTTTAGTTACTTGAAAGAAAAGAAAATCTGGAAAAAAAAAACAATAATTTTCATTAAGCTTAAGTACTAAAAGTACTAAAATAACTAAAACAAATAAAATAAAATAAACTATATATATAAAAATTAAAATAAAAACAAAATTACTAAAACTTTAACTAAAATTAAAGTGAAACCAGAAAAAAAATATGAACTAAATATTAACTAAAATTATAATATATAATAACACCCATCAACACCCATGGATTTAGTCCCATCAACAGAGGTTTGAATATATATATATATATATATATATACATACTTGTATATATATTCTTATTTTTGTTAAGTTTAACTTGAATTACAAAAATAACTAGTGCAAAACTAAATAAACTAAAATTAAAATTAATAAATAAAAATAAACTATATAGATTAGGGATGGAAAGCTTCACTAATTCGCATCGGTGCATCAGGATAAAAGTTAACGATGGGATACATCGATTTAAACAAGTGTGCATCGGATACAAGTTGCCATTTGTATCACAATGCATTGTTTCTAACATATCTGCATCGGTAAAAACTGATTTATTTATGTATAATTATTAGTAGATGTGCTATACTTTTATTATTTAGAAAGTGATCTATAATTTGTGATCAATGTTTTATATGTAGATTGATTTCTCCTCTCTATAAGCTGTTTCTCAAGCACGTTCTCTCATCACCGATACCGTGACGTATCACAACACTACAGAGACCGAGGCGAGTCCTGAGAGTCACATAGAATATAGATGAACATGGCTGTCTATCTGAACCAAAGAAATAAAAGCCAACTATCTGTACCATATTGAATTGCATAGCTTATTTTTTTCTATCGCATTGAATTGCATGGTGTTGAATCGAATCGAAATCGAATCGCACTGCATCGTAACAGGGGTGAATCATTTCACATCACATCGGTAGCTGCTTCATATGTATCCTTCATGTATCGTATCGTTGGCTGTGCATTTAAATGCATATCGCATCGGCCTCAGTTATGGAGATGCACATCCCTAAAATATATATATTTTTAAAAACAAAATCTAATAAAAATGACAAAAACACACAACAAAATTACAAATTTACAAAATAAAATATTAACTAAAACTCTAACAGTATGCTAAAATAACACTGCTTGTTTAGACCAATCAGCATGGATTGAGACGAATGCAAATGGACACACACACATACATCTCTTCAAGTAAAAGCCTCTCAGACACACACTATCAGATGAATGGGACTGTGGGAAGTCAGCTCAGGCCTGTGTGTCACACTGATAATTCTAGGCGAGGAGAGATGTTTTCCATTCACACTCCATTCATTCACAGGATTTATCTGTGCTCTCAGATAGATCGCATTTCAAAACCAAGCCAACGAGCTGTCGGCTCAAGTGGGACGTTTGGCAGCGTCGGGTCTTCGTTCGCGTCATTGGACCACTTGACCCCCAAACAGACTCGGAAACCGATCCTCTCGCTTCACGTCCTAAAATAACTCCAACACGCAGCTGTCAATCATTACAGCTGGATGACCTACTTCAGGTCATGGTTCAGGAGAGACTTATGTAATGAGCTCATGTAACCCTAACACACCTTACTCAATCAGAAGTTGTTCTGGAGTTACAGATTAAAATAATCCATCTGTGGTCAATTTTACATTATAACATCAAACTTTCAGCATTTGACAGTGAAAGAGTATCAATCAAATTAAATGCATCAAAACTAATTAACTGGAGAACAACAAGTTAAAGAAGGTGAAATGACATTTCTGGTAAGTCAACAGAAAAACACAAATGCTAAAACGTGTTCAAACTGTACTATATTAAACTATAAACATGCAAATGACACCACAAACTATGTGCATATAGTGGCTATAAAAATAACAGGTTTTGGAGAAATAAAAAATGTAAACCGTGGCAGATATTTTTCCACCTGTAATGCAATTTTGAAACCAACACAATTCATGTAACAAACAATAAAAAAAACTTTTATGGAAAAATATAATATAGAAACTAGTGCTGTCAAACGATTAATCGCGATTAATCGCATCCAAAATAAAAGTTTTTGTTTACGTAATACATGTATGTGTACTGTGTATATTTGTTATGCATATATAAATACACACACATACAGTATATATATATCATATATAAATATATTTAATATATAAACATAACATATTTTTCTTAAAAATATACATGCATGTGTGTGTATTTATATGTACATAATAAATATACACAGTATACACATATATATTATATAAACAAAAACTTTTATTTTTAATGCGATTAATCGCGATTAATCATTTGACAGCACAAATAGAAACATAAAATATAAAGCAATATAAAATATAAAACAATATTTTTTTCTTGAATTTTATTGGTTTTAATATCGTATTAAAGGTGAAAAAGATCAGACAAGATTTATCTTGGATTTATTTTTATGTCACACAGAGGTGTGTGTAGACACTATTTCTAGATTTCTCTATTTTTTTGAAGGAAATGTCAGCAGTCCATGCTAAACTAACTCGGGTCACCGAGAGACTCATCCTCACCTGAATCCCTGGATCTGATGCAGGTAGACGTTCACCTGTACACGCTTCGCACCCCGAAGCAACATTCCAGTGAGCTGAGAACACAAACACACACAAAATCAACATCAGATTCCCTAATAAATCTGACTATTGGTTAATATTACTCAATACTGGCTTCTCACAAATCCCCGGGGGCTTGTGAGATGATGAAAGGCTAATAATAAATTAGATCATAAATGTAAAATTTCAATAAAAACATATAAATAAGACACTAAAATGTTAAACAAATAAATAATTTTAAAATAATAACTAACAAAAAATTGATTAATATACTCATTATATGCACAATATATGCACTTTATAATCATTATATACACACTATGCTAATTATATGTACATTATACTCATTATATGCATACTATACTCCTTAAATGCACACTATATGCATTCTATACTCCTTATATGCACACCATATTCATTATATATACATATATTATATACATTATATATCACGATGCAAATCGTTGCAAAGCAGCTTTACAGAAAATTTAAGTTTCTACATTATATTTAGTAGTAGCTTATCAGTGGTGACTATCTCAAGTTGATGTCCATATGGCAGAAATGTACAGTAAATATCCTGCAGTTAGTTAATGTCATGTAATCACACAGACAGTGAACACTATTAACTGCAATGATTATATGTTGCGATCAAACTTATAGCAAAATTTGGTAGTTTTGTATGTTATGCACACTATCATTATATGCACATTATAATCAACACACACTATACTCATTATATGCACATTATACTCCTTAAATGCACACTATATGCACTCAATACTCCTTATATGCACACTATAGTATATACTCATTATATGCCCATAATACTCATCATATGCACACTTTACTTCTTAAATGCACATTATACTTGTCATATGCTATGCACACTATACTCATATACACACTACAACTACACTATTAAGTACCAGTCAAATCAGGGGTTTTCAAACATTTTAGATGATATGGAGTGTGTGTGTGCGCGTGTATGCATCTTACAGCACATCTGCGACCCATTTAACGCTCAAACGCAAAAACGTTTATAGGTGGGAATTTGCCTATGTGCTGTGTGCCAAAGGCATGATGGGAACTGATATGAGAAAACATTTCATAAAGCGACACACACATTCCCAGCAATAGAAGAGATTCCCGTCACGTGCACATAACAAAAGTCTTGACTCTATCCTTCAGTAGAAATAAAATAAAATAACAGTATATATATATAATTCAGTACCATGGTACGTGGTGGTATTACCATCTGATACGGTTACTGTAGCACAGTTTTATAGGGTAGAAGGAGCACCTGAACCTGTTCCAAGTGAACCTATACAAACACCATAAAACACACACATAGTGCACTTTATCCTGCTGATCCGTGGAGATCCCAAACCTGCAGCAAAAGCACTTATCAAACACACATGTGCAGTTATTTAACATGCTCCTGGAAGAATCTAGTGCTCCTGTAATTTTGTTTTATTGAATGTCTAAAGTCTTTTGTACAAATGGGTTTGTAGAAACTCTGACTGTAAACTAAACAAACTCCCACGACACAAAAAAACCAAAACAGCCACTGGTTTAATTACTAACTACCTGCTGGGAAGTGGGACTCGTCTGGACTAGCTGGGAAATCAGATAACATCATCCTAACATCATCTGCTTTATCAGAGAGTGACTCAGACACAAGCGTAAAATGTGTGTTTGTTCTGTCAGTAAATAATGAAACACATAGTGCACTTTATCCTGCTGATCCGTGGAGATCCCAAACCTGCAGCAAAAGCACTTATCAAACACACATGTGCAGTTATTTAACATGCTCCTGGAAGAATCTAGTGCTCCTGTAATTTTGTTTTATTGAATGTCTAAAGTCTTTTGTACAAATGGGTTTGTAGAAACTCTGACTGTAAACTAAACAAACTCCCACGACACAAAAAAACCAAAACAGCCACTGGTTTAATTACTAACTACCTGCTGGGAAGTGGGACTCGTCTGGACTAGCTGGGAAATCAGATAACATCATCCTGACATCACCTGCTTTATCAGAGAGTGACTCAGACACAAGCGTAAAATGTGTGTTTGTTCTGTCAGTAAATAATGAAATACAGATGCTGTTATTCATTCATTCACTCGCTCTGGATCTGTAGCAATGCTATCAGTCAGAAATCTTTTAGAATGAAACTGAATCTGTGTCTCATTAGTATTGTAGGCCTGAAGCCTGAGTGTGGTGTGATGACGCCCTCTTATGGCAGTGCAGATAAACACATACTGTATACATTATCTACACTACATACTCATTATATACACACACTATATTTATTGTATACATGCTATACTTATTATATACATACTATACTCATATGTACTCTATAAACATTACATACACACTATACTCATATACACTATACTAATTTACATTATACACATTATTTACATGTATACTACTCATATGCACGCCATACTCATACACACAGATACACACTATACTCATTATATACACACTATATATACATGCTACACTCATTACACACACACTATACTCTATATATAAATGCTACACTCATTATATATATTCAAACTATACTCATTATATACATATTATATATATAAAAGCTACATGCTATACTCATAAGCACACTATACTCGTATACACTATACTTATTATTTACATGTATACTCATTATATACACACTATATATTTAAAAGCTACACTCTATACTCATTCTATACATGCTATACTCATATGCACACTATACACTATACTTATTATTTACATGCATACATATTATTTGCATCAATTGCATGCTATACTTTTTTGCACACTATACTCGTAGACATGCTTTACTCATATGCACACTATACTCATATACACTATACTCATTGTTTATACTCATTAGATGCACACTATACACATTACATGCACATTTTGCTCATTATATGCACACTATACTCATTATATGCACACTATGCTCATTATATGCACACTATACACATTATATGCACACTATGCTCATTATATGCACACTATACTCATTACATGCACACTATGCTCATTATATGCACACTATACACATTATATGCACACTATGCTCATTATATGCACACTATACACATTACATGCACATTATGCTCATTATATGCACACTATACACATTACATGCACATTATGCTCATTATATGCACACTATACACATTACATGCACATTATGCTCATTATATGCACACTATACACATTACATGCACATTATGCTCATTATATGCACACTATACTCATTATATGCACACTATACTCATTATATGCACACTATGCTCATTATATGCACACTATACGAAAAAGATCAGACAAGATTTATCTTGGATTTATTTTTATGTCACACAGAGGTGTGTGTAGACAGTATTTCTAGATTTCTCTATTTTTTTGAAGGAAATGTCAGCAGTCCATGCTAAACTAACTCGGGTCACCGACAGACTCATCCTCACCTGAATCCCTGGATCTGATGCAGGTAGACGTTCACCTGAACACGCTTCGCACCCCGAAGCAACATTCCAGTGAGCTGAGAACACAAACACACACAAAATCAACATCAGATTCCCTAATAAATCTGACTATTGGTTAATATTACTCAATACCGGCTTCTCACAAATCCCTGGGGGTTTGTGAGATGATGAAAAGCTAATAATAAATTAGATCATAAATGTAAAATTAAAATAAATACATTTTCAATAAAAACATATAAATAAGACACTAAAATGTTAAACAAATAAAGAATTTTAAAATAATAACTAACAAAAAATGTATGAATATACTTTACATTATATGCACAATATATGCACTTTATAATCATTATATACACACTATGCTAATTATATGTACATTATACTCATTATATGCATACTATACTCCTTAAATGCACACTATATGCATTCTATACTCCTTATATGCACACCATATTCATTATATATACATATATTATATACATTATATATCACGATGCAAATCGTTGCAAAGCAGCTTTACAGAAAATTTAAGTTTCTACATTATATTTAGTAGTAGCTTATCAGTGGTGACTATCTCAAGTTGATGTCCATATGGCAGAAATGTACAGTAAATATCCTGCAGTTAGTTAATGTCATGTAATCACACAGACAGTGAACACTATTAACTGCAATGATTATATGTTGCGATCAAACTTATAGCAAAATTTGGTAGTTTTGTATGTTATGCACACTATCATTATATGCACATTATAATCAACACACACTATACTCATTATATGCACATTATACTCCTTAAATGCACACTATATGCACTCAATACTCCTTATATGCACACTATAGTATATACTCATTATATGCCCATAATACTCATCATATGCACACTTTACTTCTTAAATGCACATTATACTTGTCATATGCTATGCACACTATACTCATATACACACTACAACTACACTATTAAGTACCAGTCAAATCAGGGGTTTTCAAACATTTTAGATGATATGGAGTGTGTGTGTGCGCGTGTATGCATCTTACAGCACATCTGCGACCCATTTAACGCTCAAACGCAAAAACGTTTATAGGTGGGAATTTGCCTATGTGCTGTGTGCCAAAGGCATGATGGGAACTGATATGAGAAAACATTTCATAAAGCGACACACACATTCCCAGCAATAGAAGAGATTCCCGTCACGTGCACATAACAAAAGTCTTGACTCTATCCTTCAGTAGAAATCAAATAAAATAACAGTATATATATATAATTCAGTACCATGGTACGTGGTGGTATTACCATCTGATACGGTTACTGTAGCACAGTTTTATAGGGTAGAAGGAGCACCTGAACCTGTTCCAAGTGAACCTATACAAACACCATAAAACACACACATAGTGCACTTTATCCTGCTGATCCGTGGAGATCCCAAACCTGCAGCAAAAGCACTTATCAAACACACATGTGCAGTTATTTAACATGCTCCTGGAAGAATCTAGTGCTCCTGTAATTTTGTTTTATTGAATGTCTAAAGTCTTTTGTACAAATGGGTTTGTAGAAACTCTGACTGTAAACTAAACAAACTCCCACGACACAAAAAAACCAAAACAGCCACTGGTTTAATTACTAACTACCTGCTGGGAAGTGGGACTCGTCTGGACTAGCTGGGAAATCAGATAACATCATCCTGACATCACCTGCTTTATCAGAGAGTGACTCAGACACAAGCGTAAAATGTGTGTTTGTTCTGTCAGTAAATAATGAAATACAGATGCTGTTATTCATTCATTCACTCGCTCTGGATCTGTAGCAATGCTATCAGTCAGAAATCTTTTAGAATGAAACTGAATCTGTGTCTCATTAGTATTGTAGGCCTGAAGCCTGAGTGTGGTGTGATGACGCCCTCTTATGGCAGTGCAGATAAACACATACTGTATACATTATCTACACTACATACTCATTATATACACACACTATATTTATTGTATACATGCTATACTTATTATATACATACTATACTCATATGTACTCTATAAACATTACATACACACTATACTCATATACACTATACTAATTTACATTATACACATTATTTACATGTATACTACTCATATGCACGCCATACTCATACACACAGATACACACTATACTCATTATATACACACTATATATACATGCTACACTCATTACACACACACTATACTCTATATATAAATGCTACACTCATTATATATATTCAAACTATACTCATTATATACATATTATATATATAAAAGCTACATGCTATACTCATAAGCACACTATACTCGTATACACTATACTTATTATTTACATGTATACTCATTATATACACACTATATATTTAAAAGCTACACTCTATACTCATTCTATACATGCTATACTCATATGCACACTATACACTATACTTATTATTTACATGCATACATATTATTTGCATCAATTGCATGCTATACTTTTTTGCACACTATACTCGTAGACATGCTTTACTCATATGCACACTATACTCATATACACTATACTCATTGTTTATACTCATTAGATGCACACTATACACATTACATGCACATTTTGCTCATTATATGCACACTATACTCATTATATGCACACTATGCTCATTATATGCACACTATACACATTATATGCACACTATGCTCATTATATGCACACTATACTCATTACATGCACACTATGCTCATTATATGCACACTATACTCATTATATGAACACTATGCTCATTATATGCACACTATACACATTACATGCACATTATGCTCATTATATGCACACTATACTCATTATATGCACATTATGCTCATTATATGCACACTATACTCATTATATGCACACTATACTCATTATATGCACATTATGCTCATTATATGCACACTATACTCATTATATGCACACTATGCTCATTATATGCCCACTATGCTCATTATATGCACACTATGCTCATTATATACACACTATACTCATTATTTGCACACTATGCTCATTATATACACACTATGCTCACTGTATGCACACTATGCTCATTATATACACACTATACTCATTATATGCACACTATGCTCATTATATACACACTATACTCATTATATGCACACTATACTCATTATATGCACACTATACTTGGGTTTACAAATATTTCTAAAATATAAAGGCACCTATATATTTTCACATAAATGTTAAATGAAAAATTCAGAGAAAATATTTTATGTGATAGCGTATGGATCATATGGCGATATGACTGATGGAAAGTGTGTCAATCACTAATATATATATACAGTGGGTACGGAAAGTATTCAGACCCCCTTAAATTTTTCACTCTTTGTTATATTGCAGCCATTTGCTAAAATCATTTAAGTTAATTTTTTTTATGGATCATAAGAGTGAAAAATTTAGGGGGGTCTGAATACTTTCCGTACCCACTGTATATATATACTTCCACTTCCATGTTAATCTTTGTTGTTCATCTGAACCTGCAACCGCAACGAGTGACACATGATGAGACATTATTTTCGCTTGTTTTAGATTGTAGCTCCACCTACAGTTAAATCTCATTGGTCTAAAATCACACTCCACCATGGGATATTCTTGTATCTCTCACTGTTGTCTGATGCTTGAAGATAACGCACAATAAAACAAATGCATGTTCCGAAAGGTGTATGTTTATCAACCGAGAGGATAATTTACTGTTTTATCACTGCAAACATTGGATAAATGTGATCCTGGGTGCCACATGCTCATATGATGTCATACAGAGAGGATTTCTGCACAATAAAGCATCACCTGCCTGTGATTATATTGCACTTTTCTGAAAGGTGAGTTGGAATTCTCTACTTGGAAACATGCAAGTGCATGAATAAACCATAAACATCAAACACATTCTGGCTGGCTGTGATTTTGCAGCTCCATGCAGCATTTTGCTTTCAGTGAGGAGAAAAAATGTCAGTTTTTGATCAATTCGTCAGACTTTTTCATCAGGTTTATACAGACTTACCGGGTTGACGTCAATGACCGTCTCGTGCTCCTCCTTGTTGGGATTCATCCCGAACACATCCTGGACGAATCTGTCATCTGCCTGGTAGAAATGAGGGGAGGACATGATGATGGGCACACCTGAGAGGAGACACACACATGTTAGCGGGACGTCCCACGTCTGTACGATGACAAACAGCATTCAGACTCTCACTGACCTTCTTTGCAGACGCTGACGTTGAGGAGGCCGGAGCCGAGACAGTTCCCGGCCGGCACACAGAAGCCTGCGTTATCCGGGTTAATCGTAAGATTGGCGAAAACCTCGCTGGGTGGGACAAAGCGGAAACCGGGAACCCCTCGTACGCTCACGTCAGACTCGTACTGGGCATATATAGACCTGTCAACAAAAACATGCAGTAAACACACACTGATTCCACTGAAAGACAGTTTTATTTAGGACTGTGATTGTTTCCTTATTTAAGTAAACAAGCAATAAATCTGAAAAGCAGATTTGTGTTTCAGTTTGACCTACTTCTCAGATTTAACAGCTTTGTTTGTGTGACTATAATTTCCCTGTAAAATGGTTTTGGCTAAAGAACTGTTTCTTTTATAACATGTTTTTATATGTTTGATAATCACTTCAGTAAACTGCTGAATAGTTTTGCTTGATTGGAGGCCTGAATTAGACCTAATTAAACAACCACAGAAAGCTGCATGACGAATCACACATGCTTGGCCCACATACAGTATGTGACCTGATAGATAAAAAAAAAAAAACACACACTTTTAGGAAAAATGCTTGCTCACACATAAGCACTGAGTTCATCAGGTCACACGTTCAGAACCAATATGATCAATACTGAATCAATAACAGAATTCATAAACTAAACTTTTAATCAGTGACTCAGAAACCATTATTAATGTACAATAAAAATTGCAATAATAAAATATGTTTATACTTATATTCATGATTTGGCAACTGAATGTGAATATGCTAAAATATTGTTTAAATAGTTGATATTCATCATATTCATCATCATATTGAGTGAAATGAAGATCTGTAAGATCTGTTAGGTCACAGTGTGTTTAAGTGGTCTGCGTCCTCACCTGCACAGATCAGGGGAGAATATATAGAGTTTCTCTGTTTTTGTGATGACTGGATGGAAAGATGCTCCGTCAGTGCCGTTGATCCTGTTACAGCCTTCTGTACTCCACCAGTTCAATGTACTGACAAACAGAACAAATAATCCATAATTCACTCTGAGCACATGCTGATTGTGCAGCTCGTTCTAAATCCATTCATAAATCTTCTAGAGATAAAACGAGACGCTGAGTTTTCTGCTGATTTTACCTCTGTCCGTTCCACTCGTCTATACGAGCAAAGTCCTGATAATTCTGCTTCCCCGTGAAGAAAATATAATCACCGTCGTCGGTGCCATTTTTCTGAAACACAGTCAGTGACATGAGAATGAAACACTTGTACAAAAACACAATTAACAGATGTGTGTATCACGGAGAAACACAAATATTAAGTACAGTTACACTGAAGTCTCTTTTGTTCACCAAAGCTGCTTTTATTTGATCAAAAATACAGTAAAAATTCAGAAATATTACTACATTTTAAAATAGCAGTTTTTTATGTAAACATGTTAAAATGTAACTGATTCCTTCAGAAATCATTCTAATATGCTGATTTGCTCAAGAAACATTTCTGTTTATTATCAATGTTGAAATCAGTTGAATATTTTTGTTGAAACTGATACATTTCATTTTTCAGGATTCACAGATGAATAGAAAGTTCAAAAGAACAGCATTTATTTTAAATATAAATCTTTTGTAACACTGTAAATGTCTTTACTGTCACATTGAATCAATTTAATGCATCCTTAATGAATAAAAGTATTGAAAACTTATTTTTTCTGAAGCTGAACCTAATAATCAGCTAAAGAGAGAGCTACTGACTGATGCCACAAACCTCAAACAAAACACATGATTTGAGTCATTCTTGTCTAAAGCACAAACACTTCACAATGACGCACACACTGAACTTTATTAATTAGTGTTAGAGGTATAAAACTTGTACTAGTAATAGTGATGATTGACAGCAAACACCACGGCCACTAACCTTATAGAAAAGTCCGAAGTGGTCATCCATTGTGATAAATTTTTGGATTAATTTAAGCAGCGGATCTTCGTAACCCCACAGCAGGTCACCGACCCTGAACGTCCCAAACACACCGATGTTGTTTGATTTCATCAAGGCACTGACGAAGCCTTCAAACCATCTACCTTTGGCTTTCTCCATCACGGTCTGAAGTCAAAAACACCCATACACAGTGAATTATCTAATCTCAGATTTCATTTTTTTATGCAAACATAATTTCTTCTTTTTTATTTAGATTTTAGGGTGAAATGTGACACGCTTTCACGAGATTCACCCATTAAGCACGTGACATGCTCTCATCTCTCTGTGGTTTTAGTAGGTCAGAGATCACAATCTCACCACAGCGGGGATGTTGACTGTTCGGACGATGTCGTCCTCAGATCCGCGTGACATGTTGGGCTCAAACACGTACGTCTTCGGATTAACAGCCTCCACTCTGGTTCCGTTGTCCAGAAATTTCACTTCCTCCTTCGGCCGATACTCCCTGAAAGAGGAAACGCAAATGTGGCTCTTATTGACTTATGAAAATAACACTGTCATGGAGCTGAGCAATTTTAAAATAACAGATCATGTGATTCAGGACAAATAAATACTAAAATCTGAAGCGTTATGTGTTTTAAATGAACACAGAGCATCTGTTGTGTCATCAAACTTGTGCAAGAGAAAGCTGCAGCAAAAAGTAGTTTGATAAAGCTTAAAGTTTTGAAGTAGTTTTAAGTTCAACAAAGTTTTAAAAGCAGTTTTAAGTTTGAAGCCGTTTTAAAATCATTTTCAAGTTTGAATCAGTTTTAAAAGCAATTTTAGGTTTGAAGCAGTTTTAAACGCTTGAACTTTGAAAGCAGTTTTAAGTTTAAACAGTTTTAAAAGCTTGAAGTTTGAAGTAGTGATGGGAAGTCCGGTTCTTTTCTGTGAACCGGTTCTTTCGGACAGTTCGTTTCAATGAACCGGTTCAAAAAAACGGTTCATCGGTTCTTTTACGCCCTAACGTAATGACGTCATTCGCGATGACGTAATGATATCAAGTCTATCATCCCGGGCCGGGATGAAAATACACATTCAAATATATAAAGTCACTAATCATAACTTCAGTCAGTTAAAACATAATCATGATCTGAAAAGTTTACAATTAAGTTTTGCAACTAAGCACCCAAATACAGTAACAGACAGTATACGGGGATTTAAGTCTTGAAGATATAAAGTAAATAAATTGGAGACACGAACCGTTTCAAACGATTCAGTCCGATTTGGTGAACTGGTTCAACCGGTTCACTAAGAAGAACCGGTTAAATCGAACGATTCGTTCGCAAACCGGACATCACTAGTTTGAAGCAGTTTCAAGTTTGAAGCCGTTTTAAAAGCAGTTTTAAGTTTGAAGCAGTTTTAAATTTGAAGCCATTTTAAAAGCTGAAAATTACATTGTCATGGAGCTGATCAATTTTAAAACAACAGATCATGTGATTCAGGATTAATAAATATGGTTTTAAAGAACACAGAGCATCTGATGTGTCGTCAGACTTGTGAAAGAAAAAAACTGCAGCAAAAAGTGGTTTGATGTAGTTTAAAAAGCTTGAAGTTTTGAAGTAGTTTTAAGTCTAAAGCAGTTTTAAAAGCTTGATGTTAGAAGCCATTTTTAAAAGCAGTTTTAAGTACTACAAGCTTGAAGTTTGAAGCAGTTTTAAGTTTGAAGCAGTTTTAAATTTGAAGCCATTTTAAAAGCTGAAAATTACATTGTCATGGAGCTGAGCAATTTTAAAACAACAGATCATGTGATTCAGGATTAATAAATATGGTTTTAAAGAACACAGAGCATCTGATGTGTCGTCAGACTTGTGAAAGAAAAAAACTGCAGCAAAAAGTGGTTTGATGTAGTTTAAAAAGCTTGAAGTTTTGAAGTAGTTTTAAGTCTAAAGCAGTTTTAAAAGCTTGATGTTAGAAGCCATTTTTAAAAGCAGTTTTAAGTACTACAAGCTTGAAGTTTGAAGCAGTTTTAAGTTTGAAGCAGTTTTAAATTTGAAGCCATTTTAAAAGCTGAAAATTACATTGTCATGGAGCTGAGCAATTTTAAAACAACAGATCATGTGATTCAGGATTAATAAATATGGTTTTAAAGAACACAGAGCATCTGATGTGTCGTCAGACTTGTGAAAGAAAAAAACTGCAGCAAAAAGTGGTTTGATGTAGTTTAAAAAGCTTGAAGTTTTGAAGTAGTGTTAAGCATAAAGCAGTTTTAAAAGCTTGATGTTAGAAGCCATTTTTAAAAGCAGTTTTAAGTACTACAAGCTTGAAGTTTGAAGCAGTTTTAAGTTTGAAGCAGTTTTAAATTTGAAGCCATTTTAAAAGCTGAAAATTACATTGTCATGGAGCTGATCAATTTTAAAACAACAGATCATGTGATTCAGGATTAATAAATATGGTTTTAAAGAACACAGAGCATCTGATGTGTCGTCAGACTTGTGAAAGAAAAAAACTGCAGCAAAAAGTGGTTTGATGTAGTTTAAAAAGCTTGAAGTTTTGAAGTAGTGTTAAGCATAAAGCAGTTTTAAAAGCTTGATGTTAGAAGCCATTTTTAAAAGCAGTTTTAAGTACTACAAGCTTGAAGTTTGAAGCAGTTTTAAGTTTGAAGCAGTTTTAAAAGCAGTTTTAAGTTTTAAAAACTTGACGTTTGAAGCAGTTTTAAAAGCTTGAAGTTTGAAGCGGTTTTAAGTTAGAAACAGTTTTTAAAAGTAGTTTTAATTTTGAAGCAGTTTTAAAAGCCGTTTAAAATTTTCAAAAGCTTGAAGTTTGAAGCAGTTTTGGCTTTGAAGCAGTTTTATGCTCGAAGCAATTTCACATTAAAAAGCCCATAAACTTCATAATATCATATATTTATATTTCACATCCTACTCAATGTGTACATGTACAAAAATCTGTGCAAATGACAGTAACAAGAAAAAAAGTGTTTTCTAGACATGGTATTATTAAGTAATTTCTCTCCTTGAAGAAGCATATGCCATATGAATAGTATATTACTTCAATACCATAGTTGATAGCATCATATTAGTGTATATATAAAGCGGCTTAAATATGTCAATACTCTTTTAAACAAACTTTAATCTAAACTAAATCTAAAATGAAAATACGACTACAACTACTACTACTAATAATGCTTGATTTATTTAATATTATAATGTGATATTACAAAAAGACATCATATTATAATACATACTACACTACTTATATGTCTGATTATTATTTACATTTAGTTATTTAGCAGACACATTTATCCAAAGCGACTTACAAATGAGGACAATAGAAGCAATCAAAATCAACAAAAGAGCATCATATCATTTAAATGTAACTTTACATTCATGTAAATATCATGGTGAATAAATATGGTGTATATTATTGTTTCATATTATTACAACATTATGCGAGTTGAAAATAATAATAATGATTTATATAATATTATGATATTCTAATAAAATACATTACTGTATATTACGTTATAATACATACTATAATATTACATGTATTGCTATTAATATAAAACATTATATATTATGAACTTTAAACTGTATTAACATGAAATTTCAAAATAATGCTAGAAAAAATATTTTGAACATGGCAACTCCATAAACAATGTAAATACCATGGTGTATATTAAGGGTTCATACAATTATGTGAGGATAATAATAATAATGTTAGATATAATAATATTAAACAATGTCGGCGCCGATGGCCTGCGCCGGGCGTCCCGAGTTCGAGTCCCGGCTCGTGGACCTTTCCCGATCCCACCCCCCTCTCTCTCTCTTTACAGATAAAGCTCTGAAAATACTGGCAAATATGTCAGGGTGTGTTTATACAACAATGATCGTACTAAAAATGGAAACGTTCCTTTTCATTTTTGAAACATTTCATGTACAGACGACAACATTGTCAAAACAATCCACGTTCATACGAATCCGCGAAAATGACCAAAAATGCTGTATTATTCATGCCAGACCAGCAGTTGGCGATTTCACTTTGCCTGCGCACATACACATTCCTATAGACTGAAGATGTAAAATGCATGTGCATGAAATAACCGTCAGGGGCGTGTCTACGTGGTGGCCAGGGGTGGCACCGGCCCCCCCTGAAATTTGGCTGGCCACCCCAGGTGCCCCCCCCACCTACCAGATGTCTTGCGATAGGCTCGCGTGAGGACGAATCTCTCCACTCTCACTTGTTTAGTGAGTGTACACGATGTATTATCGTTCTGCAAACACAACAACAGCAAAAATGCCACTAAATTGGACAAAAATGCCCTTGCACAAACAAATTAAATCTATTACGTCTGTTGCTAACAAAGTGAATATGAAAAGACAGTGTCGATTGTGGCATTAAATTAAGATCTGCTCATGTTGCACCGTATTTCATTTTAGGTGTTTTACAGTGTTGAGCATTTTAACCAATCACACACAATTCTGTTGAGCTTAGGAATGCAATGGCCAATCAGAGGCGTTCAGATGAGTCATCGTTGAAACTCATCAGTTTTGCTGAGTGCGCGCGTGTTCGCTGACTGAATTCCGGACTCTTGCGAATTCTCTCATCATAAACAAAAAAGCGCAGATGTACGTACAATGTAAGTAAGAGATTAATTTCACAGTGTATACAGCTTCAGTGATTATAACGGTAGTTTTGTTTTTTTTAAAGTGCTTAAACTCGCGATAGATCAATGTTAGTGATAATGTCACTTTCTATATATAATTCATTCGCTGTTTGAATAACAGTGGAAACGAAACGTTTTTATCAATTTCTAACATTTTTATTTTATTAATAATTAATCACGTTAAATACAAATTCAGGTCGGCGCAGATGGCCTCGTGGGCAGCATGCCGACATGTAGCGCCTTTTGCGCTTCGGGCGTCCCGAGTTCGAGTCCCGGCTCGTGGACCTTTCCCGATCCCACTCTCTCTCTCTCTCACCCACTTTGCTTCCTGTCGACCTACTGTCCTATCTAAATAAAAAAGGCATAAAATGCCAAAAATAAATCTTAAAAAAAAAATAATCATAATACAAATTCAGTCCCATTAAAAAAAAATTTTTTTAGCCTACATGGCACCCATGTCTGGTTCTTGCCTAAAAAGATGGGTTTATTATGTTTAATAGATTTGGCTGCTTTTAGCCTTACCCTGGAGTTGGTTCACCCTCCGCCTATGGTTTACACAGTGAAGATAAGGGTATCGTTTTCAAAAGTTTGCATTTTTGATTAATTGAACCTCTCTCTCTCTCTCTCACCCACTTCACTTCCTGTCGACCTACTGTCCTATCTAAATAAAAAAGGCATAAAATGCCAAAAATAAATCTTAAAAAAAAAAAATATTAAACAATATACTAAGATATTATAATATGATAAAAATATCTCTGCTGCATTTCTTACAAATCAACATGAGATGTCACTTTCTGAGCACAACACAAAATACACATGTACAGTCACAGCATATGAAGAACACAACATAAATATGATATGAAAAACACGACACACTCATACTCACTGACCTCTTTTATTGTGTTGTTTATGAGCTTCTGGAAGACCTGCGTCAAAGCCATCGCAATCCCGGCGATTAACAGCAGAACGCAGAGGATCCCTGCGCCGTAAACACAGCAGGACCGGAGCATGATCCGGTTCGGTTCGGCTCTGACAGGGACGGACAAAGACACAGCAGCTGAACCGGACTCGAGAGTGTTTACATGTGTCAGCAGCAGCACTCAGAGAGAAATAAAACATCGAGACGCAAAGCAAGTTTCCAGCAGGGGGCGCTCGACGGCGCACTGAGACGATCCTCCATAGAAACCCATTCAAAACTCGCGACGGGGTTTGTGTTATTAGAACACACGTGTACTCTGGAAAGCATAATCATTTAAAAAATATTGCCCCAAAAGATTTTTACATGACATGCAAAAGAAAATACGATATTTCATTCTGTTCAAAAAGACGTGTATATACGCAATGACAAACCCGATCAGCGATGAGAAAAGTATCAGGCATCACGTGACAGCGCGGTATACGCCGGCAATAAATTACACTCGAAAAATTCATTTTAATTGACATTTAAATTGAAAATACACAGTAAAGAATTAAAGTATTTATTATTATAAATTATCACTGGTCCAGTGAACCCGATCGATTAGCGACACGCCCATATTGAGACATTTCGCGCTGTTTACCGTCTTATCTTATTATATTTCTAGCGAGATATGAAAGAACCGCCGCCCACTCATGAGTCAGGAATTTTTATAACACATTATTATTCCCTCTATTTGATTCTGAGAGGATGTTCATGAGAAACTTCACTCGTTAGGTTCGACAGACCTTCACATTCCCCTGAATTACTGTGACATAAATAGACAATTTCGACCATTTATTATTGTTTTCCTGTCAATTATACATGTTTAGAGTGATTTAGAAAATCTGTAGGAGGAAAATCAAATGTCGGTTTCCATTTCGACGGATATAGTTTGAGTGGCGCAGCTAATGAGCGTAGAACATTTTGAGAAGTCATATGACCGACTGCGCATGCGCAGCTCGCAAAAGCTCGACTGAGTGGAGCGGCTAGCGAGCGTCTAGAGAAGGTCACGTGACTCAGTGCGCATGCGCAGAGCTGCTGGCGGCGGTTGTCTGAGTGATTTGAGTTTTCTGTTGGATGTTTAGCAGGCGTGTGTCTGTACAGATTCTTCTAATCTGCTTTACTTTAATTTAGCCTCACTTTCGCTTTCTGTTCGTGATCTGCACTGGGTTCATCCGGTGAGTTTCTGTTTTTGCACACACTCTGTCGTGAGCATTAAAGACATTAAACTTATTGTGGTACATTAATACATGTCTTTAAGGTCTATTTCCAGCAATAATTATGCAACAGAAACAGAAAAACCTGAAACTCCTGTCAAACATATTAACTTAAAAGTGTTAAAGTACTGAAAAACGTAAAACTAGGTTTTTACTAATCTTACTAAACTATTAAATCTAAGTTATCATTAGTTAGTGCAGTTTTTTAGATGTCACGGACCCCAAAATATGATCATCCCACTCAAAAAATATTAAAGACTATTAACATTTTAGAATAAAATTAAAACATAATAATAATTGTATTATAGATATGTGTAGAATAAAATTAGGGGGGAAAAATTTATAGATATGGAAATTCTTAGTTTTTACTACTTTAATTGCATTTGTTATACTAATAATTATAATAATGTACTGGTAAATGTATTATTTATTTAATATTTTAATACATTTTTACATTTATTTTAATACATTTATTTCGATTAAGCTTATTTTTTATTACTAAATTTGATTAAGCATTTTTTTTCATAGTTATAAATGTCATGCGACTTTCATACATACTTTCATTGGTTAAATTTTTTTTATTATTTAATTCTTTTTTATTATTAATATTTTTCATAGCTAAAAATGTCATGCAACTTATACATGCTTTTATTGGTTGGCAATAATTTTTTATTATTACTATTTTTTCATAGCTAGCTAGAAATGTCTTTAACATTTATACATGCTTTATGCATACTGTGTGTTAATGACACGTTAATGTAAGTGTATGTGTTTTTGTAGAGCGTCTGAGGACGGTCTGATGTCTCCTGAGTCGAGCGTCACGTCGCTATTGGCCGCTTCAGGACTCCTGCAGAGCTCCTTACATCCGGAGCCCGTCCCCAGCATCAAATACAGAGACAGACACTACATCTCTGCGTCAGAGGCGCTGGACGCTTACATCACTGACTTCCAGAGGAGTCTGCGAGACGCTGAGACCACAACCGGGAAACTTGAGCTGCCCAAAGAGATGACAAAACCTCATCCCAGAAACAGAGACGGTAAATCAGCACAGTACATGCAAATCAATTCATGTTTTAAGGAACATTCTAGGTTATGTGCACCATGCTGTCAGTCACTACAGACGGCTGTGAGAATAAAGCATTAAACCCCAAGGAGCCGTGGTTTACAGTGAATTTATAACAGCTAAGGGGCGTTGTTAGGCATGACGCGAAGCGGAGTAGCTGTTATAATTTCACTAAACCACGGCTTCACGGGGGTTATTGCTTTTATAAAACGGTTATTCCATATACGTATTTAGGTTTCACAGAATAAAACGGAACAAATAAAGTGTAATGATATTAATAAAAACCGTATTCTTCCACCAAACAATGTAGCTCCTCAGAATCAGTTGTGGTTGCAACAAAGTGGTTGCCGAGCAACACACAGAAGTAAACAAAGGTGTATGTTACTTTGTAGAGTCATTTACAACAGCTTCGAACGCGGCTCAGCCAATCAGAATCAAGCACCGGAACTCTGTTTTATAAATTGTATTTAACCTGGAATATTAGTTAAAACCAGCACCAGTGTGATTGTACTATCACTGCCATTTTATTATAGTTTCAATTATTATTTTGAATAGACTTTTATTTTTTTATTTTCATTTTTCATTCTGATTTTAGTTAAACTTGAGTAATTTATCATGTTTTGTTTAGTAAATTTTATGTGTTTTAGTTTTTATTTTTGTAAATATGTCTATGTAGTTTTTATCTTGCTCTTCTGTGATGCACTTTGGTCAGCCTAGTGGCTTGAACTTGAACTTGAAAGTTTTATTTGAAGTTAAACTAAATGAAAACAAGACGTACATATTTGGCAACTAGCGGAAATAAAATAAGTTTTATTTATTTTTTTATTTTTTTATATTCAGTTAACTTTTATGTCAAGTAACGAAACTGTATTTTTATATTTTTAGTTATAGTTAACTATAATAACTGATCAGCACAGTGTTATTTTAGTCTAATTAATATGCTATTTATTATTCATTAACAATATTATTATTGTTGTTGTTGATGTTGATGTTTATAATTTTTATTTTAGTATTTTCCAGATTTAATGTTTTTTTTATGAAATTTTTTTTTTGTAATTGTTGGCTTTTGTCGCTTTAATTAGTTTTTATTTTTTAAAACACGTTTATTTAATTTGTTTTAGTATTTATTTACATTTTAGTTACACTTTGTTTATTTTACTTTCAGTTTTTTTTTACATTTATTTGATTTCAATTAACCAAAATGCAATTTAATAGTTTTATTAACAATAACAACAAAGGAGGCAGTGTCCATTCTCTTGATTTGATGCATAACATCCAGTGTTTTTATTTGCTTTGACGAGTGCAGTACTGAAGACGAGTTTGACGGATGAAGAGCTGATCTTCCTGAACATTCCCGTCCGGAACAGAGACTCGGATCGGCTCAGTATGACCACTGATGACCTCTTGGCTCTCCCAAATGATGGCTCTCTCCCCGTGACCCGCACCTCGGCCCTCCTCTCCCGCTCTGGGAGCTTTCCGTTGGGATTGAGCTTCAACTCTAGCTCCCGGTCACACTCCCGGTCCATTATGGCTCATAAAAACTCCATAAGGCGTCCCGTCCCTGCGGATGATTTACTGATGGCTGGTTTGAGGTCACACCGTCAAGCTCCTCCCCCCAACATCCCGCCAGCCAATCGGACGCTTCCACCCGACACGCCCAGATCCAGTCATCTCCCGCGCTGGATGACCAGCCAGAAATCCGACATGGATGTTTCCGGGATGACCAGCGTTCCTGAGCTGAAGTATCCGGTGTGGCTGAGACAGTGTGAAGAATCCTCAGACGGCCAGCAGAGCGATCGTCCTCTTCCTCCCAGAGTTCCTTCATGGGTTAGAGAACTGGAAGAGTCCAGTGGAGAACGTCAGTCGGACGCTAAAGGTCAGCGAGGTGTCAAAGGTCACGCAGGAGAGCCGTATGGATCCCAGTCCATCAGTCAGTGCAGTCTGAGAGATCTGCGTTTACAGTTTGAGCAGAAACTCCAGGCAGCGAAGAGAGGACCGATTCATGAAGGACCTCTTTTCAAAGGTTTGCCAGTTTAAACAAACACCACCATCTAATTCTCAGAGGAATATTTCATCCAAAAATGAAAATAAAATGATGTATTTTTGAAGTTTTAAGTATTACTATGTACTCACTTTCATGGTGTTATTTATTTATTTCAGGTTTAGTAATTTAGTTCTTCGACTTAATGAATGAATGTATGATGCAGCGTTAAACTAAATGACTTAAACTAAATGAAAATTAAATGTCTTGGCAAGAGACAGTTTAATAATATTTTTTTAAATTTAATATTATCATTAATATTAAATTAATTCATATTTGAATTCGTTTTTATTTTTATATTTTCCACTTTTCCATCCATTTAAATTTTAGTTTAGGTTTTAGCTGTGTCTTGATTGGTTTCAAGAGTTTTTTTTTAATTGTGTTTATTCATTTTTAATTCAGTTTTAGTAATTATAGTACTTCAACTTAAATTAAAATTAAAAATGTTGTCTTGGCAACAAACTGAAATAAGTTATTTTAATACTTTTTATTTTATTTCAGTAATGTGTTTTAATATTTTTCTGTTTAATAGTATAATCCATATATTTAATATTTTTATTTCCCTCCGATTTTTCCATTCAATTAAATTTCATTAAAAAATACATTTTAGTTTAGCTTTGTGTTTTTTATGGGTTTCAATAGTTTTTTTTACTATTTGTTTTATTAATTTTTATTTTAGTTTTAGTAATTTTAGTACTTCAGATTAAACTACATGAAAATTAGAAATTGAACTGAAATGAAATAAGTGAATTAAGTTTTATTATAATAAAAGTTTTATATGTTTATTTTATTTAAATGAATGAAAATGTTTTTTAATATATTTAGTTTTAGTTTTAGACACAACACTAGCTCCATGTCATTCCAGATAAAACCCTCACTGGTCTCTTCTTGTGTTTCTCTCTGTTCAGATGATAAGATTGGTTCTCTGATCTTCAGAGCCGAGCAGATGTTAAACGCGCCTTCTTTTGCGCTCTGTGAGCCGGTGAAGGAGCACAACAGTTCAGGAGATACGGAGGACGCTCTGGACGCGGACCGATCCTGGGACAATCCCCCTGTGACGTTGTGAGTGATGGACAATGATGATATTTTCACATTGAATCTCAAGAAACTTCTATTATTTATTGGCAAAAATGTGCCTTTGGTTCTTAAAAGCAATGCAAAGGTGATGGATTTGATTCTCAGGGAGTGCATGATTGAATGCAGTGTAATTGCTTTGAATAAAAGCATGTAGTAAATGTAAATATAAAACATGTCCTACTGTCTGTAGTAAATCTCCAGTGCGTGTGGGTGGCGCTGATGAACCTCCAGCGCCGGAGGAACTTCAGAGGAGCAAGGTACAGTATGTGACAGTCATCATGATGTCTTCTGTTCATTTAAACTCAATGCTCTTCAGTGTAAATCTGTGTCTGGCTCCAGTCTGCAGCTTCCTGTTCATCAGGATACAGCAGCAGAAAGCATCCTGGTCCGGTGGAGGCGCTCAAACACATGCTGTTCCTCCTGCAGGCCGTCGAGCACAAGATCAGCCAATCACACGCCTCCGGTGACGCCAAAACCACTGCAGCTTCAGCCACACAGCTGGAGAGAGACACACCGGAGCCGGTGAGTGAAAAAACCTGCTTTGTTCCTGTTATAATTGACAAAGCTGTCAGTTTCATTGGTTAATATGTGACCCTGGAGCACAAAAGCAGTCATAAGTCGCTGGGGTATATTTGTAGCAATAGCCAAAAATACACTGTATGGGTCAAAATTATCCATTTTTCTTTTATGCCAAAAATCATTAGGATATTAAGTAAAGATCATGTTCCATGAAGATATTTTGTAAATTTCCTACCGTAAATATATCAAAACTTAATTTTTGATTAGTAATATGCATTGCTAAGAACTTCATTTGAACAACTTTAAAGATGATTTTCTCAATATTTAGATTTTTTTGCACCCTCAGATTCCAGATTTTCAAATATTGTCCTATCCTAACAAACCATACATCAATGGAAAGCTTATTTATTCAGCTTTCAGATGATGTATAAATCTCAATTTCCAAAGATTGACCCTTATGACTGGTTTTGTGGTCCAGGGTCACATATGGTGATCTAGTTTGTCACATTGTGGCAAATGTTAGTAAGAATGGTATAAGAATGACTTTTTTATGTATCAGGCAATATACAAAACAATTTACAAAAAACAAGAAATGTATTCATAAATGAGCAATATTGTTATACTTTTTGTACTGAGATGCAATAGCAAACTATGGAAGCCACAGTATAAAAAAGAAAGAACATTCTATAATTCAGATTTTTTCTTTCAATTCTGAGAAAAAAATCCAAAGTGTGAAAGAAAAAGTCACCAATTACCTTTTTTTTATTTTTTATTTTGTGGCGGAACAGAATTACGAGATGTAAACTCCGAATTGTGAGAAAGTTCTTTCAATTTGACATTTATATTTCGCAGTTATGGCTTTTTTGTTCTGAGAATTTAGAGTTTGTATCTCGCAATTTTGACTTTTTTTCAGAATTGTGAGGAAATAAGCCTGAAAGTCACAATTAACAATTTTTTTCAATTTTGTGGCATGAGAAAAAAAAACAGAATTGTGAGATGTAAAATTAGAATTTTATAAAGTCTGAATTCTGAGTTTCTTACGATTTTGATTTAGATCTTGTAATTCTGAATTTTTCCCTTAGAATTGCGAGGAAAAAAAATCTGAATTGTGTAGGGGGAAAAAGTCAGAATTACAAAATATAAACTCATAATTGTGAGATAAAAAGTCATTTTAATTTTTTTATATTGTGGTGGAAACAGGCTTCCATAGAGAACAGCAGAGAATATGTTATTATTACTCCTAATGTCTGATTTATTTTCTTTCCTTTGTGAAACCAGATGTTTTGCAGAATGTTCACGCTATGCTTTTCCACAAAATGAAAGTATTTTTTATACAGCTAAGCTGAAAAAAGAGGCAAAAAGGACAAAATACACTAAAAAAAAAATGCTGGGTTGTTTCAACCTAACTTTGGGTCAAATGTGGACTAACTCGGCTGTTGGGTTAAAATTTTTTTACATAAAATTGGTGTAACATAATATAATGAAAGTAGATCCATACTACATGCAGTATATTCCACTGAAGAAGTCACTATAAAGCTGATGTTTGGTGTTATTGATGAGCAAATATAATGCTTTTTTTAAGGTTCCTCAGCAGGAAACAGAAGAAACTGACCTGGGAAATGTGGAGTCATTACAGAGGTCAGGAGGCTCAGTGAAGCAGCGCTGATCTCATATCACGAATTCAAGCTGGTTCAGTGTTGTTGATCTTTGATCTGTTTTCTCAGAGCTCTTCATCACCTGGACAGACTGAAAACACTTGTGGACGACATGAACGAGAGGAAGGCCAGAGCAGAGGATGATGGGACAGATTGTACAGACACTCCTGCAGCTAATATCACAGACTGGGCCAGAATCAATAAACGGTTGTGATTTTTACATAAAATTGGTGTAACATAATATAATGAAAGTAGATCCATACTACATGCAGTATATTCCACTGAAGAAGTCACTATAAAGCTGATGTTTGGTGTTATTGATGAGCAAATATAATGCTTTTTTTAAGGTTCCTCAGCAGGAAACAGAAGAAACTGACCTGGCAAATGTGGAGTCATTACAGAGGTCAGGAGGCTCAGTGAAGCAGCGCTGATCTCATATCATGAATTCAAGCTGGTTCAGTGTTGTTGATCTTTGATCTGTTTTCTCAGAGCTCTTCATCACCTGGACAGACTGAAAACACTTGTGGACGACATGAACGAGAGGAAGGCCAGAGCAGAGGATGATGGGACAGATTGTACAGACACTCCTGCAGCTAATATCACAGACTGGGCCAGAATCAATAAACGGTTGTGAATCAGAAATCACAGACTGTTATTATCCTACAGACAGACATTTCATTGATCATATTAGCTTTAAAAGCTGATTCTGCTTTAAAGGATCTTTAAAACCTCATGAAAGATAAAAAATTTAAATAAACTATTGAGTGAAGCGGTTTCAAAGGGCACATGCTTTTACCGGCAATGAGTAGCATTTGATCTAATCAGTCAAAAAATGCTAAAGTGTTTGTCTGAAGTGTGTTTACATGCAGGTCACTGACTAATATCAGAGTTAATTTAATCATTTAGTTTTGCAATGCTGTCTTGATCACTGACTGGAACAATAATATTTGAGAACATTGATTCTTAGCTAACCGAGGCTAGAAACAATAATGTACAGTATGTGGAAAATAATGTGTTTTTGAACCTTAAACCGCATAAACACATTTCATTACACCAAATACACAAAATAATGTTCTTTTTAGCAACATCATATGACCCCTTTAACCCTCATGTGGTGTTCGGGTCCTTTTTGCTCTGTAACATCGTAAGTGTGATAGGGTTCTGAACACAACACAAGGGTTAAATACTGGACAATTCTATATTATACGGAACGGTTGCAACCCTATCGCAGGCTGCACTCTGCGAATTGTAATTCACGAATTCACACTAACATATAATTGGATTGAGCAATAAGTAAGCATATTTAGCGTATACTGGCCAGAGGGAGGGCTCCGAGCTATCCCTAAAATGGGATGAGAAATAGAATAAGAGTGAGGAGTTGGGGTGGAGGAGTGATGCTGGAAAACTGTCGTGGGACAGAGGTAAGTTGGCTGTATATATAGGCTACGTATTGTGCTAGTTAAGTTGATTAACTAACGAGCTCCACCTGTGCCAAATTGATTGATTATCTGATCGTGCTCCTCCCGAACCTTGTTAATGAAACTGGCTGCTGATTGGCTAGAACCAGATATCACAATATTGATAAACGTATAAATGCATTCTGAAGCAGCTCTAAAAGAATCAGATTCTGTTGACAGACCACAGACAGTTCAGAAAGATTTTCTGTTCTGGATTTGAAGAAACTGGTCCTTTGAGTAGTTTTGATTTACAAACCAAACAATCAGTTCATCAGTGTTTTGATCCATCAGGCCAGTGCTGCAGCAATGCATCAGTTCATTTCCATTATGTTTTCACTGCTAGTCATTACTGGACTGCAGGTGAGTGTTGAGTCCACAGGAACACGTTCTGAGCGAAGCATCGACAGACGTTACAGATCAGAGCTGACTGTGCCGAATGGAGGGAGATGGGGGTCATGGGGTCAGAGGGAAATGTGTCCAACTGGAACATATGCTGCAGGGTTCAGTCTAAAGGTAAGCTAAGAGCTGACTTAATTACAGTAGTATGGGGTTTGTTTAATGCTTGAAAGTGTAAGCTGGTGACTGAAGGTTCAAACCCTTAGAAAAAAATCAACTCTGGAGTTGCGTTTAGTGATTCAGTTCCAGGTATTTCTAAGGAAACTGCACCTGCTCAAGTTTGACTGCTTTGCTTAATACTAAAGAAACCAAGTTGAGTGTTACTATGGATTGGGTTAGTCCAGGGATTCCCAACCCTGTTTCTGAAGATACACCAACAGTAAATGTTTTTGATTCAACTGAACACATCTTTAGTAGACATCCAAAATGTGACGTTGGTGGACCTCCAGGAACACTAGAGGTTTGGAGTTAAGATTACTCCTTTTCTCTTTCTTATGTCTTGGTGTTGTGGTTTGTTTTAAGGTGGAAGATCCTATTGGTCGTGGGGATGATACTGCACTCAACGGGATTCGCCTTCACTGTGTTGATCTTTTTCAAGGCTCCTCACACTCGTATCACGACTATGCCTCCGTTCAGTCAGATGTAGGCAGGTAATGGGCTAAAGAGTCTAAAGAGTAATGTAGCAGGTTTGCAGTTAAGAATTGTTACATTTAAGAATACGAGGCAGTTGTTTTTTTTTCTCATAACCTAGACCAGTGAAGTTTCTTAATGACGATCGGTTTGATCAACTTTTTCTTCAGCTGGGGTCGGTGGACGGATATCAAATGGTGTCCTTCAGGATTCTTGACCGCTTTTCAGCTGAGAGTCGAGAAATCTCAAGGAGATGGTGACGACACGGCCTTTTTCTTCAGCTGGGGTCGGTGGACTGATATCAAATGGTGTCCTTCTGGATTCTTGACCGCTTTTCAGCTGAGAGTCGAGAAATCTCAAGGAGATGGTGACGACACGGCCGCAAACAACATCATGTGAGTTTGTGCTGTGCTAAAAATCCTTTAGCCTAATTTGGTGCTCTAAAATGACTGGTCTTTTACAAATTGCTTGTAATCACTATTATTATTATTATTATTATTATTATGCTTCACTATCATCACCAAATCTTACTGGAACTGATTGCAGGGATCCAGACTGAGACTAAAGTGGTTGCATTTGCGACTAAAATAATTTGTGTATTTTTGCTGACGTCGCCACTGACGAGTGGTTGTGCACATCAAAGTTTTGGTGAGAACTACCAGCACTAACGGTGCACTTGCTAAAAGCAGATCTGGTTGTGGCCTTGGTGGTGTTGTGATCAATACTGTATCCCGTGATAAAGCTTTAGCAATTATTGCAACATGAAAATCTGGTAGCGTCACAAGCCTAGCTCCCACTTTAAGTGAACCTTAGTTCCCGTGACGTCTAAAGTACAAGATGAATTAAAATGCTGATAAACGCAGGAAAAGATGAGACAAACACATGTATGACTAATATTAAAGTGTTAAAATTTTTTTTTAATTTTTTTTTTTAAACGCACTTGTTCTGTGGCACCTAAAGTCAAATTGCAAGTTCCAAGAGTTTGTTTTGGCTTTTGTTAGTATTGATTTGAAACCACATCTCATGTTGTTGCACCCAAACTTTCAGGTTCAAATGCAGTCGAGGGTCTTTACTGCAGGGTGACGGCACAAACTGGGGTGATTGGGCTCCCTGGAGTCAAACATGTGAAGGAAAAGGGATTTGTGGTATCAAGACACAGATAGAAGAGCCACAAGGACGAGGAGATGACACCGCTCTCAATGACGTGCTCCTGTTCTGCTGCGACTAAGGTGATGTGAATTCAATCAAACACTCGGATCACAGCTGTTTGGATCTGTGTTAGTGCTGGCTTATCTGAGTTTGGCTTTTCTTTCAGGTGTTAGAGGACGACAACAAGAACAGCAAGAAGATCAGATGGGATTATAATTGATCAGCATACTGTTATGAGCTCACATTAACTGTCATACAACAGCTAGTCTCAAAATAAAGCCTGAGATGTGATCAGGACCTCAACACAAAGCAGAGGCTGACAGTACATCTCACTTATTGTGTCTTATCAGTTCATGCATTTCAAATCCACAAACTCCATACTCTACATTAACCGTAAAGCTGTAAACCCGCTTTTTTCTGAGGGCATAATATCCTAACATCTATTAAAATATCCATTTAACTTGATGACCTTGGTGTTTGTCTGATTTAATGTGCTTCGTTGACCTGATTGAAATCAATAACAATTGAGTTTTTTATTTTCTCATGCCTGACTAATCAAAAAAGAAATGTTTCGTGAAGAACCGACACTTCCACCCTATTTAAATAAATATACTTAAACGTATTTGATAAACATTTATTTCATGCTGAGTATACTACAAATACATTTTATGTAGTTAATAAAATACCCTGCAGTTGTATTTTTAGTATTCTAAACTGGTATACGTCTGCTAAAATGAAAGGACTAATTTTGTACTTTGCACTTTAATTGTAAAAAAAAAAAAGTAGTGCTGCAATCCAACTACAGATATACGCAAGTATACTTGATTGTGCTAAAGTGGAACTATTGTAAGTATACTTCAGGTACACTTTAAATGTTTTGCATTTAAAGACCGATATTCAAAGATCACTGAATCCTTATCAAAAGTGACATTAAAACCCGTATTAGACTTAATTTAAGAAATGTGCACAAGTGAGCGAGCATAGCATGAGAAGAGTCTTTACAATAAAGGATTTGTTAACCCATTAAATATAAAAAAAAAATGCATTAGGAATTTTCCGAAAGGTCCAGGAAATGCTACTTGAAATGAGATCTATTTATTTTATGGTGTACAAACAGCTGATAAAAACATCACAATCCACAGCACTCCAGTCCATCCGTTAACATCTGGAGAAGACAAAAGCTGAAACAAATCCTTCAAGACCTTAATTAAAATATGAATCCATAATCCATAACGCTTCCTCCAGTGAAAAAGTGGTCTGGTCTGAATCAGGAGATAAATCTGCACAGATCAAGCACCGTTTAAACCGCTCTAAACAAATCTGTGGCTGGATTTTGATGTGAGTCAACAGAAGATGGACTTCTTAATTTGAGGAAATGTTAGTATGGATTATGGACTAAAAATTTCTTGATGGATTAGTTTCAGCTTTTGTCTTCTCCAGATGTTAACTGATGGACTGGAGTGGTGTGGATTATTGTGATGTTTTTATCAGCTGTTTGGACTCTCATTCTGACGGCACCCATTCACTGCAGCAAGTGATGCAATGCTGCATTAGGTTCATTTTTGGATGAAGTGATCATTTAAAGGAATCTGCTTTCCAGTATATTTGTCTTTAAAACCTCATGAAAGGTAATAAAAAATGTTAACTATCAAGCAAAGGGCACATGCTTTTACTGGCAATGAGCAGCATTTGACCTGATTAGTAAGTGTTTGTCTAAAGAGTGTTTATTGATTTGCATCATTTAGTTTTGCATTATCATCTTGAATGATAATATGGATAAACACCGATTCTTTCTTCATGCAAATTACTATAACTTCAGAAGTCAATTTGTATTAAAATGCTAAAGTGTTTGTCTGAAGTGTTTACATGCAGGTCACTGACTAATATCAGAGTTAATTTAATCATTTAGTTTTGCAATGTTGTCTTGATCACTGACTGGAACAATAATATTTGAGAACATTGATTCTTAGCTAACCGAGGTTGATGTTCTGTGTGTATTTAGTTTACTTTATGCAAATTATTCAGAAGTTGTATGAAAATACTTTTATGACATTTAAATTTGTCTTGTGCGCCTCAAAAGAAAAACCCATATGGGTTTGGAACCACATGAAAGAGATTAAATGACAGAACGACCGTTTTTAGTGAATCATTTGCTTTAACACTTGCTTCCTTGCAATCATTCTTGTTCAAGCAAACGCCTGACATTTATTTTAAGGTTGTTCTTTTATTCTCCGTCTTGCAATGCATGCTTAACATTTAACTAATTAAAAATACAAAATCAAACAAGCAACTCAACTTTTATAGGTATTTTACCAAGCAAAACAGTTTTCAGGGATATTAACGGTTAAGAAAGAAAAAAGAAAGAAAGCTTTATTACCAAGTTTACACACACACACACACACACACTACACACTACACACACACACACTACACACACACACACACACATAGGGCCGGAGTGGGACTCATTTTCAGCTCTGGAGTTTCGTGTCTTAGACCGGCCTACTTTAGTTCACGACTGACTATATTACAATAATGGAATTAAAACCTCAGGATATTAAGTCTGCAGTAGTGCACTGTTCTCTACAGCCTTTAATTCATTGTATTTTTCTAGAGCAATTTGTACCATAATGCATGTCTGCCTGCAGTCAAAAAGTTCTCAGAAATAATCATTTCTTTTGCTTAACCTGTTTATGTACAATAATTTAAAAAATAATTTAATGTCATACAAAAAAAAGTAATTGGCCTGAGTAAATTGTAACCTACCATTATAGAATTGTGACTGCACAAGTAGTGTAGTAATTTAGGAGAAAATACTGTGAAATGACATACATACAAATGGCATGAAACTCGAAAGCATAACAACTGAAGGTCCATAAAACGTCAGGTTTTTTTTAAACAATGGCACTTTAATTTTTTAACTCAAATTTTAGTGCAGTGATATAGCCTATGAAGCGGCAGCAGCCGACAGAGGATTTCACTTGCTCTTAAAGCCTTCCTCAAACATCTACACTCACAAATAAAACAATGATTTTTGCAAAAAGAATGATTAATTATCAACTGAGAATTTGTTATTCATATGGTCTGGTGGTCATACGGCGTATGCCTGTGAATATACGGGACAAACTGCGTTCCATATAGCTTTCGTACGGGACGCTTCTTTGATCTCTTAAATACTGGACAATTCTATATTATACGGAACGGTTGGCAGCCCTATCGCAGGCTGTACTCTGTGAATTGTAATTGTTTAAATGAATATACAGACACAGTATGTTATTTACAAGTGTGCTGAGTCTGCTGACTCTAGACTCAAGATAAGCATACAGAGATTTTGCTGGATCAGTGTTTGTGTTTTTGTGTGTTCATTTACATACAGGTTGTTGATGTGTTCATCTGTGCTCCTGGCTGCTGATTGGCTAGAACCAGATATCACCGTATTGATAAACTGTATAAATGCATTCTGAAGCAGCTGTGAAAGAATCAGGCAGATTCTGCTGACAGACCACAGAGAGTTCAGAAAGGTTTCTTGTTTTGGATTTGAAGAAACTGTTCCTTTGAGTAATTTTACTGGCTCTGGTTCAGTTTTACTTTACAAACCAAACAGAATTAATTTCATCAGTATTTTAATCCATCAGGCCAGTGCTGCAGCAATGCATCAGTTCATTTCCATGATGTTTTCACTGCTAGTCATTACTGGACTGCAGGTGAGTGAGTCCACAGGAACACGTTCTGAGCGAAGCATCGACAGAAGTTACAGATCAGAGCTGACTGTGCTGAATGGAGGGAGATGGGGGTCGTGGGGTCAGAGGGAAATGTGTCCAACTGGAACATATGCTGCAGGATTCAGTCTAAAGGTAAGCTAAGAATTGACTTAATTACAGTAGTATGGGGTTTGTTTAATGCTTGAAAGTGTAAGCTGGTGTCTGAGGGTTGAAGGTTCAAACCCTTAGAAAAAAATCAACTCTGGAGTTGCGTTTAGTGATTCAGTTCCAGGTATTTCTAAGGAAACTGCACCTGCTCAAGTTTGACTGCTTTGCTTAATACTAAAGAAACCAAGTTGAATGTTACTATGGCTTGGGTTAGTCCAGGGATTCAGCTCTGTTCCTGAAGATACACCAACAGTGAACGTTTGATTCAAGTGAACACATCTTTAGTAGACATCCAAAGTGTGATGTTGGTGGACCTCCAGGAACACTAGAGGTTTGGAGTTAAGATTACTCCATTTCTCTTTCTTATGTTTTAGTGTTGGTGTTTTTTTGTTTTGTTTTGTTTTTAAGGTGGAAGATCCTATTCAAGGAGATGACACTGCACTCAACGGGATTCGTCTTCACTGTGTTGATCCGTCTAAAGGCTCCTCAAACTCATATCACAGCTACGCCTCAGTTCAGTCAGATGTAAGCAGGTAATGGGCTAAAGAGTCTAAAGAGTAATGTAGCAGGTTTGCAGTTATTAAGAATTGTTACATTAAGAGTACGAGGCAGTTTTTTCATAAGCTAGACAAATACATTTTCTTAAAAATAATGATTGGTTTGATCAATAAAACTGTGTTTTTTCTTCAGCTGGGGTCGGTGGACTGATATCAAATGGTGTCCTTCTGGATTCTTGACCGCTTTTCAGCTGAGAGTCGAGAAATCTCAAGGAGATGGTGACGACACGGCCGCAAACAACATCATGTGAGTTTGTGCTGTGCTAAAAATCCTTTAAACTAATTTGGTGCTCTAAAATGACTGTTCTTTTACAAATTGCTTGTAAATCACTCGTTATTATGCTTAACTATCATCACCAAATCTTACTGGAACTGATTGCAGCGCTCCAGACTGCGACTAAAATGGTCGCATTTGCGACTAAAAATATTAATTTGTGAGTAATATTTTTGCTGAGGTCTATATAAATGTACATGTTATGATTTAAAAATGTGCATGTAATGCCTTTTTTCCCGGCTTTTTTTATGATCACATAATTTGTTATGTTGACGTAATAAACTGAGACAATGCACATCAAAGTTTTGGTGAGAAAACGACCAGCGCTAACGGTGCACTTGCTAAAAGCAGATCTGGTGGTGTTGTGATAATACTGTATACCGTGATAAAGCTTTAGCAATTATTGCAACATGAAAATCTGATAGCGTCACAAGCCTAGCTCCCACTTTAAGTGAACCTTAGTTCCCATGACATCTAAAGTACAAGATGGATTAAAATGCTGATAAACGCATGAAAAGATGAGACATAAACACACTGAAATGTTAAAGTGTTAAAAATGATAAAAATAACACATTTATTCTGTGGCACCTAAATTTTTTTTTTAGGTGCAAGTCAAATGGCAAGTTCCAAGAGTTTGTTTTGCCTTGTTTTGTTAGTACTGATTGAAACAACATTTTATCATAATGTTGTTACACCCAAACTTCTTCCAGGTTCAAATGCAGTCGAGGGTCTTTACTGCAGGGTGACAGCACACACTGGGGCGATTGGGGTCCCTGGAGTCAAACATGTGAAGGAAAAGGGATTTGTGGTATCAAGACGCAGATAGAAGAGCCACAAGGACGAGGAGATGACACCGCTCTCAATGACGTGCGCATGTTCTGCTGCGATTAAGGTGATGTGAATGCAATCAAACACTCGGATTGCAGAGCAACACTGTTTGGAAGATCTCAGTGATGTTAGTGCTGGCTTATCTGAGTTTGGCTTTTCTTTCAGGTGTTAGAGGACAACAACAAGAACAGCAAGAAGATCAGATGGATCATAATTGATCAGCAAACTGTTATGAGCTCACATTAACCATGTCATACAACAGCTAGTCAAAAAATAAAGCCTGAGATGTGATCAGGACCTCAACACAAAGCAGAGGCTGACAGTACATCTCACTTATTGTGTCTTATCAGTTCATGCATTTCAAATCCACAAACTCCATACTCTATATGAAATGACATTAGTGTTTGTCTGTTGATTAATGTGCTTCTTCGTTGACCTGATTGAAATCATTAACAATTGAATATTTCTTTGCATCTCATTCATTCATTTTTTTTGTTTTCATGATTGACTAATCAAAAAATGAAGAAATGCTTTGTGAAGAACAGGCACATCTCCAATAAATTTAATTCAAGCATCAAAGCATGAGAGGAGTCCTTACAATATATAATTAAATGATTTCTGTGAACCCACTAAATATCAAAATAAAAATTGCATTCAATAAAAACTTTTCAAAAGGTCCAAGCAATGCCATTTGAAAGGAGTTTTTTTATGGTGTCCAAACAGCTAAAACATCACAATAACCCACAAGTAATCCATACCACTCCAGTCCATCAATTAACATCTTGAGAAGACGAGAGAAACAAATCCATCGTTAAGACGTTTTTAACTAAAATATCCATAATCCATAATTACACTTACTCCAGTGAAAAAGTCCAAAACAGCTCTAAACAAATATGTGGCTGGATTTTGATGTGAGAGACAAAAGGAGATGCACTTTTCCACAGGAGGAAGCGTTATTATGGATTATGGACTCGGATTTTTAGTTAAAAACGTCCCTCGCATACACCTTTCTAACACAAATCATGTCTTACAAAAGTTAAATCAATATATTGTTTTCTGTGAAAGAGTGAACAGGATGATTTTCACATCATTTTGAAGCAAAAACTCTAGTCTACCACATCCAGTTCCCTTTCGAACGTTCACTTCACGTTGTGTGTATTGGGAAAACTCCTGTTTTACTCTGTACTGAAGCCTGATTTGTTCACGTTTGTGTAGCTGCACAAACCAATGGCGCTTTAGCCCGCCAGAAAGGGTGGAGCCGACGTGTATATAAGTCGGCTCGCAGCGCCATTCATCAGATCATTCTCCTTCAGCGACGAGGATCATCTCTTCGCTGACTCTGGAAGAAGCCAAGAAGCCGAGGAAGAAGAAGCTCCAGCTCTGCTCGCCGCCGTCGAAGACGCCTGAAGCAGCTAGGATTCACTGCGGCCATCCAGCGCTTGAAGAGCAAGCAAGAACGATTCCTAAAGAGCAAATTTCTCAGCACGCATTGTTTCAAATGTCGCGCCCCGAGTGTGGCTCATGCAAGGACCCCTTGCATGAGACGGACGGGTACAGTGAGTGCATCACCTGTCTCGGCAGTGCCCACGCAGAGGCTGCGCTCACTGAAGGCTCATGCTCCCATAGAGAGAGTATGAGTCTTTCCCGTCTCTGCTCGCGGATCGCCTTTTTCCATGAAGGCGGTCTCCCTTGCTCAGCCCTCCCGTTTCTTTCTCTCCTAAGAGAAAGAAACAGCGGGGCAGCGGGTCCTTCTCAGTGGGCTCGAGCTGTGTCACGTCGCCTCAGCACCCACATGCCCCGCCCTCCCCGCGTCCTCTTTCAAAGAGCTGCGCACAGCAACAGATCTGGCTCTGCGCGCCACGAAAGCAACGGCGCAGATGATCGGCAAGACCATGGCCAGTTTGGTGGTGCTGGAGGAACCTTCTCTCACAGGCGAAAGGCATGATTTGGCATCCCCGGCCGGAGCTCTGGAGCCTTCATGTATGGTGCCTCGACCGGGGCTTAATCAGCTCCCAGCGAGAGTGAGCAATACCATTTTGGAGGCAAGAGCGCCGTCTACAAGACGGCTTTACAGCCAAAAATGGTCGGTCTTCCTTATCTGGTGTTCTGCACGGGGTTTGGACCCGATATCATGTGACGTGTCCCACGTGCTGACCTTTTTGCAAGAGCTGCTGGATAGGGGGCGCTCCACCTCCACGCTCAAAGTATATGTGGCAGCTATCGCAGCGAACCAGCGAACCTGGCCATTCAATCGGCAGGAACGACCTGATCGTTAAGTTCCTGAAGGGTGCACGGAGGCTGAAGCCTCCTCGCCCTCAGACTGTGCCGTCTTGGGACTTGTCTATAGTCCTGCGGGCCCTAAAAGGACCCCCCTTTGAGTCGCTCAACTCGGCCGATTTATGGCCCTTATCGCTTAAAACGGCCCTCCTCCTGGCTTTGGCGTCGGTTAAGCGAGTGGGCGACTTGCAGGCGCTGTCAATCAGCGCCTCGTGTCTTGAGTTTGGGCCTAATGACTGTAAGGTCGTTCTAAAACCGAGACATGGTTATGTTCCTAAGGTGCTCTCAACTCCATTCAGAGCTCAGGTGATCTCCCTATTGGCGCTCCCCGTTACAGATGGTGAGCAGGGTCCAAACATGTTCTGCCCAGTGAGGGCTCTGAGAGTATACCTGGAGAGCTCTAGCCTGTTTAGGCAGTCTGAGCAGTTATTTGTTCGCTTTGGAGGCCGCCATAAAGGGCTGCCGGCCACAAAGCAATGACTTTCTCGCTGGATTGTTGATATGATATCCCTAGCTTACGCATCAGAAGGATTGCAATGCCCTATAGGTGTGAGGGCCCATTCCACAAGAGAGATGGCCTCCTCCTGGGTGTGGTTCAGCAGAATATCTATTGGTGAGATCTGTGCAGCCGCCGGCTGGTCGTCGCCGTCCACATTTGCCAGATTTTATAACTTAGACATCCCTGCTTTGCAGGCGCGAGTTTTGTCTGTTTAATGTTCCACTCTTCTCTTCGGGCGAAGTGGTTATATTAGAGCCCTCAGCTACCAGCTTGGGGCGCAATGTGCTCAGGTTTTTTGGGGGTCCTTATTAGTGCTCCGAGACTGGGCTCGCAGAGCAGGAGATCCTGTATCTGCTCATAGCACGGCATTCCCCATACACAACGTGAAGTGAACGATCGAAAGGGAACGCTAAGGGTTCCTGACGTAACCTCAGTTCCCTGAGATAAGGGAATGAGCGTTGTGTCACTTGCCGCGCTATAAGCTGTGCGAATAGATGACTGTCGCTTCAGTCGAATGGTCTGTTGAATGGCACTGCGAGCCGACTTATATACACGTCGGCTCCACCCTTTCTGGCAGGCTAAAGCGCCATTGGTTTGTGCAGCTACACAAACGTGAACAAATCAGGCTTCAGTACAGAGTAAAACAGGAGTTTTCCCCATACACAACGCTCATTCCCTTATTTCAAGGAACCGAGGTTACGTCAGTAACCGGAGCGTTTTCTTCCAGGAACGTACATATATCAATATCCCTTGATTTTTATTTATTAATTTTTTTTGCAACTTACAGTAAGGGAAATCACATTTCCAACACACACTTGAGTGTTCGGCCAATCACAACGCACTGGGTCAGCTGGCCAATCAGAGCCCTCTGGGATTTTCGGAAAGGAAAGGCTTTGTAGAAATCAGTGCATTCTAGACTGATTTTGAAACTGATATTTCAATACAAAAAAATTACACGCAGTAAATAATTTAAGTAATATCACTGAATATAAGCATGGCAGGTGTGATGGTTCCAGTAAGTTTCTGAGTTTCTTATTTCTGAGTTGCAGGTGATTGGCTGAGGGGAGTGGTTGCACACCTGCATGTAATAATGGCGCTCTATAAAAGACTGGGACAGAGCTGGCGAGAGAGACGTGAGCATGGGCTGAGCTTGGGCTGTCTTTGTTTGCGCTGTACTTTGGGTTACTCATGAGGCTACCGGAGGACTGATGAGATGGGAGAGATACGAGAGATCACCGCCGCCTTTGATCCATCTCCTTTGGGGATGGTTGCTGTTCTTGGAGGTTCCTTGGACTGTGTTTGGTTGGATTGCTGTCTTTCATGATTGCTACACACTTGCATGTATCTGCTGACACACTGATTACCATTTATATTTACATTCTATGTTGTTCTGTCTTCCATGGACAAATAAATTCACTTAATAATTAGCCGCAGCTACCGGTTCATCCTGCTTGTTGTACCAAATATCAGCATTAAAGTCTCTAAGAAGCACCTTGTAGTCTCACATCCTTTATCACTACCACTGCTGGTGTCACAATTATGGACTTTTGCCTGTGTTCCTGTTCTCCTGCCTTAGTTTAGTTGTGTTGTCCCGATTAGTTCATTCTGTTCACCTGTGTTCACGCTATTAAGTCATTAGTCCCTCATTTGTGTCTGTATAAAGTCTGCCCGTTCAGTTCTTTGTGTTGCTGGTTATTAATGTGGTTTGTTTTGCTGATTTGGATTCCCTCTGTTTGTTTCTCTGTGGATTTATTAAAGACGGTGTAGTGAAATATTCTTCTTCATCGTGCGCTTTGACTTAGCATAAGCACTCCGTGACAGCTGGGTAGATTACTTACAAATAGTAGTCGGTTACTGAATCGGATTACATGATGAAAATTGTGAAGATGGTAACGTAATCTCGGTTACTCATTTTAGGTAATGTATTCTGACTACTTTTGTAGATGACTTGTTTAAACATACCTGGCATAAAAAAAAAACAAAGAGGAAAAAAAAAATATTCCACTTCTTGACATCAGCATCATAAAATGTATTGTTTCCTGAACTGGGCTTAATGTAAGAACTGCAGTGGATTTGTGAGTTGATAAAAAAACAAAGAATTAGGGAGAATCAATACATTATGAATAATGTACTGCCACTGTGTGAATAACATGTAATCATGTAATACATAAAAAGTAAGTGCAATCTGATTATGTGCATTTTAAAATGTAATATACTCTAATTATGAGTACATCATTTTTGGAATCTGATCACATGTAATCAGTTACTACCCAGTACTGATCACAACATTTTACATCCGATGTGTCATTGCATTAGGGCATGTGGCAGACAATTTGATCTAACGTGACTTACACTGCATTCAAAGTAATTGTCTTATACCTTCATGCATTTCCTGGGAATGAACAGTGAACTCTACAGCAGCGGTTCTCAAACCTGTCCTGGAGTACCCCCAGCCCTGCACATTTTGTATGTCTCCCTCATCTATCACACTTGATTCAACTCATCAGCTCATTAGTGGAGACTGCAAGACCTGAAGTGGGTGTGTCAGATATAGGGAGACACACAAAATGTGCAGTGCTGGGGGTACTTCATGGAGAGGTTTGAGAACCCCTGCTCTACAGGAACTTTACATTAAATTTAAGTGTAATACTAACCATGTTAGCTATAAACTTTGTTACCTTTCTGAGGGCAAATTATATCCTACACTCTTAAAAATAATGGTTAATTGTTGGCATTTATTTTTCCATAAAGAACCTTTAACATCTATGGAATCTTTTCATAACACAAAAGTTTCTGTATAGTAGAAAAAGTTTTTTTTTTATATATATTAAAATGTTCTTCACATTAATAGAAATTTTTTTTCTTTTGCTTAAAGGTCTGATTTCTGCTTTACATAATCTATTTTTTTAAAAGTTAATTTAGGCCGAGTTCATTTAGTCAATTAGTTTTGCATTGCTGTCTTGATTACTGACCGGAACAATAATATGAATAAACACTGATTCTTTAGTTAACTGATCCAAATTTGTTTTGCGTATATTTATTTCTTCATGCAAGGCATCATAGGACTTTAAAAAATGCAGCAGTCAAGTTGTATGAACATATTTTCATGATACTTAAAGGGGTCATCGGATGCCCATTTTCCACAAGTTGATATGATTCTTTAATGAAAATTACTCATTCCTTAATGAAAAGTCTATAACATACTTTGGCTAAAATTTCTCAATGGTAGTGTAAAACAACAACCTTTTAACCCTGTCAAAAACAGCTCTGTTTACAGCGAGCCGTTTTGGTACATTTCCCTTTAAATGCTAATGAGCCCTGCTCACCCCGCCCCTCTCTTCTATGGGGTGACGCGCAGTTCTCTAAGAGACTGTAAACTTTAGCCGCATTCATCGTGAAACTTGCTAACTAAACTCAGAATGGGTCTAAGGTAAAACGCCAGTGTCAATCAACTATCATGGGAGGGGCCTTGCCTTGCCCTGTGTGATGTCACGCTTGCAAGAATCTGAGAACGGCTTGATTTGACAAAGGGGTTTGGATTTATCGAGATTTAAAAAAAACACTGGGTGGATTTTTATCATTATAGGGTGGTTGTGTACACACACTGCTAACACACATTTCAGTTCAGACAACATGTAAAAGTGAATTTTGCATCCGATGACCCCTTTAAAGTCATATGTGTTTGGAACCACATGTGGCACATTAAATGATGACAGAATAATCATTTTTAGCAAACCACTTCCTTTAACACTTGCTTCCTTACAATTCTTGTTTAAGCTTTTCGCCTGCTATTCATTTTAAGGTTGCTCTTTTATTCTCTGTGTTGCAATGCATGCTTGATATACATACACATCTGACATGAAAACAGAAAAACATTTAAATAGTAAGACTCAACAATAAATAATAATAATGTGTATGAATCTGGAACAGTAGATTTATGTACAGATTTGTGCATTATTTACTCTATATACAGCTGCATTCATGCATTTCCTGGAAATCAACAGTGAATTCTACAAGAACACTACATTAAATTTAAGTGTAATACTGTCCCTTAAAAGCATACACTCTTAAAAATAAAGGTTCTTTGTTGGCATTGATGGTTCCATAAAGAACCTTTAACATCCATGAAATCTTTCCAGTGCATAAAAGTTACATATACATACATATATATATATATATATATATATAGTGGACACACCATTTTGTTTTCTTTTTGCTTAAATGTCTGATTTCTGTTTTACATTATCTATTTTTCTTTGAAACATCATGAAAGATTAAAAAAATGTAAAAAAAAAATAAATAAAAAAATTTTAATGATAATAATAATGTGTGTGAATCTGGAACAGTAGATTTATGTACAGATTTGTGCATTATTTACTCTATATACAGCTGCATTCATGCATTTCCTGGAAATCAACAGTGAATTCTACAAGAACACTACATTAAATTTAAGTGTAATACTGTCCCTTAAAAGCATACACTCTTAAAAATAAAGGTTCTTTGTTGGCATTGATGGTTCCATAAAGAACCTTTAACATCCATGAAATCTTTCCAGTGCATAAAAGTTACATATACATACATATATATATATATATATATATATATAGTGGACACACCATTTTGTTTTCTTTTTGCTTAAATGTCTGATTTCTGTTTTACATTATCTATTTTTCTTTGAAACATCATGAAAGATTAAAAAAATGTAAAAAAAAAATAAATAAATAATAATAATAAAAACTATCAAGCAAAGCTGTTTTAATGAGCAGCATCTGATCTGATCAGTCAGTGTTCGTGTTAAGTGTGTTTACTTACGGGTCATTGATTTCAATATTCAATTTAATTTAGTCATTTAGTTTTGCATTGTCTTGATCACTGGCTGGACCAATAATGTACTAATAATGTAATAAACTGATTCTTTAGTTAACTGATCTGAGCTTGCTCTGCAAATATTTATTCATGCAAATCATCATATGAACACTGTTAATTTTCTTATTTCTTATTCTAATTATAATTTTTTTATATAGTTTTTCTTATTTCTTAAGCTTCACTTTTGACTGCCCTTGTGTAATTTCCTTTCATTATGTGCACATCATGATCACACCTAGACAAAACGAGAACTAGATCTCGGACACACTGGTGCACCCATATGATAACGGCAACCAAGCACACACATATGTTCATACATGCATCTTAATTGTTGTTATATTTATTAATATCCATATAGGGTAATGTTTGACCTCTGACTTCTTTGATTGGATGCCAAGGGCATCCTGTATGTTGTTGCATGAATCAGTGTTGTATAAATATGACCCATCATCCTTAATAAAGTTGAGAATTTTATGGTAGTGCACTAGCTCTCTATGTCTGCTTGATCCATTAATTAATTTTAATCCGTATTTTAATCCATCAGGCCAGTGCTGCAGCTACAGTATGCATCACTTCATTTCCATGATGTTTTCACTGCTAGTCATTACTGGGCTGCAGGTGAGTGTTGAGTCCGCAGGAATTCGTTCTGAGCGAAGCATCAACAGACATTACAGATTGGAGCTGACTGTGACGAATGGAGGGAGATGGGGGTTGTGGGGTCACAGGGAAATGTGTCCAGCTGGAACGTACGCCGCAGGATTCAGTCTAAAGGTAAGCTAAGAATTGACTTATTTACAGTTTAATGGTGAGAAGTGTATGCTGGTGACTGAGGGTTGAAGGTTCAAACTCTTAGAAAAAAATTAACTCTGGAGTTGCTGTTAAATTAAATTCCAGGTATTTCTAAGGAAACTGCACCTGCTCAAGTTTTGTGACTGCTTAATACTAAAGAAGCATGAAGTGGAATGTAACTATGGATTGGGTTAGACCAGGGAAAGCACACCAACAGTAAACGTTTTTGAACACACTTGATTCAACTCATCAGCTCTTTAGTAGAGACTCCAAGACCTGAAATGGATCGGCCAGATAAGAAAGACATCCAAAATATGAAATGATGTTGTACCTCCAGGAACACTAGAGGTTGGAGTTAAGATTAATCTTTTTCTCTTTCAAATTTAGTGTTGTGTTTTTGTTTTGTTTTTAAGGTGGACAAGGCTCCCTATGCTCAAAAGGGTGATATCACTGCACTCAACGGGATTCGTCTTCACTGCATTGATGTGATTAGTAGCATATTTAGCCGCTATCATGACTACGCCTCAGTTCGGTCAGATGTAGGCAGGTAATGGGTTCAGTCTAAAGAGTAATAATGTAGCAGGTTTGCAGTTATTAAGAATTGTTACGTTAAGAGTCCGTTTCTTCATAAATTAGACGAATGAATTTTCTTGAAAATAATGATTGGTTTGATCAATAAAACTCTGTATTTTTTCTTCAGCTGGGGTCGGTGGACAGATATCAAATGGTGTCCTTCTGGATTCTTGACTGCTTTTGTGCTGTTAGTCGAACAGCCTCAAGGAGCTGGTGATGACACGGCCGCAAACACCATCGCGTGAGTATGTGCTTTTGTGCTGTGCTGAAAATGCTAATTTGGTGCTCTTGGTCAAAAATGACCAGTCTTTTACAAATTGCTTGTAAATCACTCATTATTATACTTTATCATCACCACCAAATCTTTTTGGAACTGATTGATTGTAGGCCTCATTGATCTGTGCTTATGCACCTCAGTTTTGGAGTGAAAAAAAAAACATTGTGGATAATTTGGTCAATATTCACTCAAGTTTGTTCAAAATTAACTCATAATACTCAGCTGAGTAGCCATTGAAACCAGTTTTGTGCTACAGGCCTCTGGTCAAATTGCAAGTTCCAAGAGTTTTGCCTTGTTTTGTTAGCAGGGGCGCCACTAAGGGGGGGAAAGTTAGGACAATTCTAAGGGCCCACGCACTTTTGGGGCTCCCAGAGATCTGTTTAACTTTTCCATACTATATTCGGTGAATAAATGTAATTACATTTAATGTGATTCTACAGTAAAATACTGTTAAAAATACGGTTTTTGGAAGTGAAAAAAGAAAGTCATTGTATAATTTACAGTGAAAAAACATTAATTGACACTCCCAGTATTCCCTGCATGACACTTTATAGTTGATGTTTTTTTTGTTGAAATAACATGTTTCTTAGTTTTTTCTTATCCTAGAGTCACTGAGTGAGATCAGATGGTAAACTGTCAAATTAGAGATGTCTTCGAGTCCGACAAAGATGTAAGTCCGGTCATCAAAAGATCTAAATATTTGTGGATTAGAAACAAATGGAAAATTGAGCTTTTGCTGTAATTCTATGGATGTTTTGCCCGACAGGTCGTCGAGCCAGTCATGTGACTGAAGACTATGAATTGTAGCTTCTAAATTGGATAATGGTCAACACCATTGGTTTGAAGCGCTGTCAATACATTTAAATTTCAACTTTTACTAAATGTAGTCTTTAATAATGTCTGAAAATATATCAATGAATAACCTGATTCAAGTCACGTGCTTTGTCTTAAGTTCTCACTCTGCAGCAAACGGTTTATATGTATTTACACATAGGGCTATACGGCCATCTAGAGGTTACACCCTGATATTGCAGAAGATAAATGGTGCAGAATTTAGAGGTTAACATTTAGTAAAATCCCCTTAAAATAATACAAATATTAAAAAAATATATATATTATTGAGCTAAAATCACAAAAGCACAAATATATATTCATTCTTATATATTTTTATATATAATTTGTATGTTGATCTATAAGTGTTTGGGCTGTTTAATATTAGGTTTTTGTTTACAATCCCCCTACAACATCAAGCCCCACCCCCAGATAAAATATGTTCCCGTGGCTATGGGTAGGTCTCTGACTAAATACTGATACCTAGTGGTCAAAAGCAATAGCAAAAGTAATAGGTCAGTATTATTAAATTTATTAAATATTAGTATTATTAAAAAAAAGATAAAAGCCTGAACAAAATAAAGCCTAATGTGATCAGGACCTCAGCACAAAGCAGAGGCTGACAGTACATCATCTCACTTATTACATGGCAATGCAAAGTGTGTCTTTTCAGTTCATGCATTTCAAATCCATAAACTCAATACTCTACATTAACTGTAAAGCTGTCAACCCGCTTACCTGTCATTTTTTCATAATTTACATAATTATATCCTAACACCAATAAAAAATCATCTATCAGAAGTCATTAATAATTGAATATTTCTTTGCATCTCATTCATTCTTTTATTTTTTTTTATTTCTCATGATTGACTAATCATAAAATGAAGAAATGCTTTGTGGAGAACAGGCACATTTCCAATAACTTTACATCAAAGCATGAGAAGAATCTTTACAATAAATAATTAAATGATTTCTGTGAACCCATTAAATATCAAAATAAAAAATTCCCAAAAGGTCAAAGCAATGCCATTTGAAAGGAGTTTTTGATGGTGTCCAAACAGCTGATAAAAACATCACAATAATCCACAAGTAATCCACAGCACTCCAGTCCATCAGTTAACATCTGGAGAAGACACAAGCTGAAACAAATCCAGCATTAAGATGTTTTTAACTAAAATACGAGTCCATAATCCATCATAACGCTTCTTCCAGTGTAAAAGTGTTCTGGTCTGAATCAGGAGAGAAATCAGCACAGATCAAGCACCGTTTACAAGCCAAAACAGCTCAAAGCAAATATGTGGCTGGATTTTGATGTGAGAGACAACAGGAGATGCACTTTTCACTGGAGGAAGCGTTATTATGGATTATGGACTCACATTTTAGTTTAAAACCTCTTAAGGAATGTCAATGAAAGCACTACAAGTCCTGTAAGCACTGCAGCTGTGATGGATGATCTTCCGGTGTGTTTGACATGTTCAGAAACACTTGTTCAAACACCCACAGTGTTTAAAAAATTAAGACTGAATAAACAAATCTTCAATTGTACAACTGCAGTTACATTTTTTTTGTTTATGCTGAACTTAGCCTGATTAGCTTATGAGTAATGCATACAGTAGGAGCATTTTTTAAGGTAGTATTTATATTGAAGTACTACTGCATCAAAATAATTGCAATTAAAAATATTATGTATGGTAAATTAGTATTCCTTTAACCCTTGTGTTCAGGTCTGTGGGACCCGTTTTCACTTTTTGTCAAAAGAAAAATTATACGATTAATTATTTTTTCAAACTCATACTCATTGGCCTTGGCTCATTTTCTGTGAAGAACATATATCAGAACAAATGTTCAATGACCACACACTGTACACCCCCCTACACACTTACATTACATACAGGGTGTTCGGGTCGGGACTGCTATTAGCATGGGTATGTGTGTTTATGTGTGTGTATGTGTAAGAGAGAGAGTGTGAGTGTAAGTGTGAATTTTGTGTTTCTGCCCCTGACATTCCTGCACAAGGTTGTAGCACTTAAATTCATAAATGTGATCTAAAAAAATTAAAGGGCAAATATCAACCATATATGCTGTTTATATTGCTTGTACTTGGGATGAAGTAAACATCTGTTGAGTATTTTAACAATTTTTCTAATTGTGTTGAATTAAAAACCCAAAAATGCAGCAGGTCCACCAGACCCACGAACACTGGCTGAATACAAAAATATGAACACCACACAAGGGTTAAAGGAATCTGCTTTACAATATCTATTTGCCTTTAAAACCTCATGAAAGTTAATAAAAAATGTAAACTATCAAGCAAAGGGCACATGTTTTTACCGGTACTGAGCAGCATTTGACCTGATTAGTAAGTGTTGGTCTAAAGTGTATTTATTGACATGCACAATCATTTAGTTTTACATTATTGTTTTGAACAATAATATAGATAAACACTGATTCTGTAGCTATGTGTATACATTTCTTTGTGCAACTTACTATGACTTCAGAAGTCAAGTTGTATGAAAATACTTTTAGTCAAGTGGCAGTTCTGGGGTGAGTAGATAGCCGGGGCTTAGCCCAGAGACATCCATGTATGTGTCAAAATACACAGGATAAACTTATTTACATAAACTTAAAAAAAACGTTATGTTGGCTAAGTGGATTTTTAAAATTTTTTTAAAGCCAAGTATAGGCCTAATTAAACATGCAGGGTTCCATACACTTATTGTCAGACCCAAGGACTGTTTGTTGTGTTTTCTTCCCCCATGTGCTCTGTGACCTAGTTTCCCGTCTGTGTCTGATTATTGTCGTTATGTTCAGGTGTGTCAGGTTAATTATTCTCATTTGCTCCACTATATTAGTTGTGTTCTGTTCACTGTTTGTGGTCTGGTCTACTACGTCCCTACATGTGATCCTGCCTGTCCGACCTGTGTTCACCCTTTTGTGTTCGCCCTGTGTCCGCCCATAAACACACATACACATACTAATAGCAGTCCCAGACAGTAGGAGGACAGAGTGAAAAAGGGCGTATTTGCATTGTTCGTTATCTTATTCGTGCGTTTCATTCACCGTAGCGGTGACACTTATTTTTTATTTTATTTTATTTTTATATTTCTAGCACTTGTACATACATTTATACTGCACAAAAAAATTGCATAAATAATGTTATGAGATTAATGTTTTAAATATAAAAAATGGAATAAATAATGTTATGAGATTAATGTTTTAAATATAAAAACTGGAATATAGAAATTTAAAATGACAGAAAAAACAGAATGACACTTTACAACATTAAAATCATGTTAAAATCATTTGTAGATTTTTAAAATGTGCATGATCATATGAATTGAAAGTTTAATGACATTTGTAAGCAGTTAAATTTACATTAAATGATCTGTTAATTAATAGGTAATGGTTAATAATTACATTAGTAAACATCGACAAGCATATTGTCTCATATTTCCAGCTATGTTAATATATATTAACTAATGATCTGTTATGCAAAAAATAATGTCTGTTAATGATTTATTAATGTAAGTTATTATAAAGTGTTACCAAAAAAAGTAACTAAGCGAAGCTGTTTCAAAGGGCACATGCTTTTACTGGCAATGAGCAGCATTTGTGCCAGTCAGTCAGTGTTTGTATAAAGTGTGTTTACATGCAGGTCATTGACTTTAATATTCAAGTTCATTTAGTTTTGCACTGTTGTCTTGATAACCGGCTGGAGCAATAATATGAATAAACACTGATTCTTTAGTTAACTAATCTGAATTTGTTCTTCGGATATATCTTTCTTCACGCACCAAAATTTTTTTTATCTGAGAATGATTCTGATTTTATTGCATTCAGTGTAAACGCGACGTCATGCCAGATGAGGCTCACGCAGAGAGAGAGAGACTTGTGCAGAAATCAAGATAAATGAGAGCAACAGCACTCACAGAAAGTTATAGATGCATACTGCGGTAGATAGTTTTTTTTTAGAATATAAGTAACATCACACGACCAAGATGTTTCTCTGAATATCAAACAATCAGCTTGTAACACTCCAAAGAGAAAGGAAAACTTGAAATCGCATCATATGACCCCTTTAAGTGACTTACATTTGACACAATATTGGTTTTTGCTCAATTTCGTAAACCAAAATAGTTCCAATCAAAGCCACACCAGAACTGTTGTGTGTCTTCAAGCAACACAGTGGTGTTTCGTTATTGAAACACTTCAGCTTCTTTGTTTCCGGCAATGGAAAGATGGAGTTTGTTGATACTGATTTCATTTGAATGGTAACAACTCTACAGTTTCTAATTATTCCAACTAAATTAATTGAAACAATGTAAGAATTTGATGTGAAAGATGACACATTTAAAAAAAAGTTAGGGAAAATGTATAAACAGTGGGAAATGACATCTGTCTTGTTATATACAGCAACTCAATTCTACCTCTTTCCAGTCACAGAGCACTTTGTTTTGAGAGTTGTTCAAGTGTTACTTAGTCCACATTGGGGGAATTATAATGTTGAATAATTTCTTTTATTATGTAAATCATTTTTTGCATTAAAAAAATTGATTTTTGTTTGTATATGCTGTCAATTATTGTTCTTAGAAAGAAAATCGGGATCTGCAAAATCGGTATCAGCAGGTCACACTTGCAACAAAAAAAAAACGGAAATCGAAATCGGACAAATTGCAATGGGTGCATCTCTAATTTTAACAAGTAAATCTGATTGCTGTTCAGTTAAATAGAATTGAGAAATTCCAAGTTACAGTAAGTGTTACATTAGTTAGTGCAACTTAAATAAGTTGTTTGGATTACACACCTAGTATATCTAACTTAAAATTAGGGCTGGGCAAGTTAACGCGTTATTATCACGTTAACACATTAATTGATTAACGCCAACAATTATTTTATCGCGCGTTAACGCAGTTTTTTATTTTTATGAATGTCCGTTGCTCACTGGCACTGAATACACACAGACAAACCATGGGTCACAGGAGGGGTGGGATGTTGATCAGTACTGGCTTGGGATGAGTGTCACGCGTCTCAACCAATGAGAGCATTTGGGGTGGACCTAAGACTGCACATGAACGCTCCCGATCAAATTATTTAGGCTAAGCATCAACATTCACAAACCACTGTCCACTGTTATTTTTAACAGAAAAGAATGCAACGTGCTCGTAATCACGACTTCATAAGTGGGAAATAGGAAGTTTCCCATAGCATGTGAAGACAACAAAAGAAGCATCTCGCTCAGCACAGTGGAGTGCATCGTTTTGTTAACTTTGTGGTTTATTATTTTGAGTTGTTTGGGACGCGGTAACATACGGCCCTCTCACAATATTGCTTTACAGATCTATCACTCTTGCTGCTCAAAAATGTTCACACAATCATGCAGCTTGATCATAAGTTCCGCGCTCCGACGCGGTTAGCGCTTACACTCACTGATCTATATATAACTGAACGGCGCTCTGGCCCACCTCTTCCAACAGAGCCAGGGACGGCTAAACGAACTGCGCCCGAGCGCGGCAAGGAGCGACCACACTAGTCAAACAAACCGGGCTTTGGGGGTCAGACGTGCTCAGGCACGGTTAAGATTGCCTAGTGTGAGTACACCCTTATTCTCCCGCATCCCGCACACATGAGTTTCTACCCGCCCATCAAGTGTTGTCCCGCGATCGTGCAGGTCTCTAAGGTACCTGTTATAATGTTATGATGGAGGCTCTGGACTCTGAGCATAACTTGTTTTTCTATAGCAAACTATAAAATAGTTTCTATAAAAACGTTAATGCCCTGGCAGTGGCAAATAGCTTGTTTTATATTTAATTTGATTACATTAATGTTATAAGTTGAGATTTACAATAAATATTTTAACTGCTGCTATGTAAAAGGAATACTACTGTAAAAAAAGCACCTTATTTGTTTAAAGTGATTGCAAACCAAATGTTATTGCGCTTTTGTTCATATAGCAGTACTTTTAAATGAAAAAAGTGCACAATACACTACTTTTGAATGCATTATTGAATTTTGTGCACAATGCGATTAATCGCGATTAAAAATTTAATCATTGCCCAGCACTACTTAAAATGAATTAGTTTTTGAAAGTAAAAAGTTTTTTACTTGACTTAGTTTTTTAAGGCAATCGGCTTGCATGCATTTTAAAGTAAGGTTAACTAATTAGATTTTACAGTGTGTATAAACATACTTTTACGACACTTAAATTCTCCTCATGGCTCTCAGAAGACAGACAGTTATACGGGTTTGGAACCACATTAGGTTGATTAAATGATGACAGAATGATCATTTTTAGCATATTACTTCCTTTAACACTTGCTTCCTTGCAATCATTCTTATTCACTTGAGGAAATAATAAACCTGTAAGCAAATGCTTACAAATTGCAGATTGCAAATTTATTTCAAGGTCTTATATTCTCTGTTGCAGTGCATGCTTAATATTTCACTCATCAAAAACACAAAATCAAACAAGCAACTCAACATTTTATAGGCATTTTACCAAGAAAAACTGTTTTCAGGGACATTAACTGTTAAGCATACAGATATTTTGCTGGATCAGTGTTTGTATTTTTGTGTTTTCAGTCACATGCAGGTCATTGATGTGCACTCGGCGCTACTTGCTGCTGATTGGCTAGAACCAGGATATCATGATATTTATAAACCATGAAAATGCATTCTGAAAAATCAGGCATATTCTGCGGACAGACTGCAGTCGGCTCAGGTTTTCTGTTCTGGATTTTAAGAAACTATTGTTCCTTTGAGCAGTTTTACTGACCCTGGATCAGTTTCTGGTGTAGAAATCAAACAGAATTAATTTCATCAGTATTTTTTATCGATCAGGCCAGAGCTCCAGCAATGCATCACTTAATTTCTTTATTGTTAGTCATTATTGGGCTGCATGTGAGCATTCAGACATTCATAATGGATTCTGATCCAGACATCAACAGAAAAAACAGATGGTGGCTGAATGTGTACTATGGAACGAACTGGGGATCATGGGGGTTTAAGGACATCTGTCCAAATGGAACGTACGCTGCAGGGTTCAGTCTAAAGGTAAGTCCGGCATTGAATCCATTACAGTAATATGGGGGGGCTTAGTGGTTAAACGTGAGCTGGTGACTGATCATTACTTGTTAGGCATTTAATTCCAGGTATCTCCAGGGAACTGCACCTGCTTAATACTAAAGGACACAAAGATGAATGTTACTATGGGATGGTTACAGTTAACTTTTCAATGATTGATTGTAGCTCTTTCAAATTTAGGGTGTTGTGTTGTTTTTTTCAAGGTGGAACAACTTTCCTATGGCTTTTGGGATGATAACACTGCACTCAACGGGATTCGCCTTCACTGCGTCGATCCGTCCAAAGGCTTTTCAAGCTCATATGAAAACTATGCCTCAGTTCAGTCAGAAGTAGGAAGGTAAGGTCAACAGAGTAGTTATAGTAGTTATAGCAGATTTTTGCAGCCGATACGGAGTACCGATTTCTTGTCATGGTGATCGGCCGATACCGATGCAGATTCTGATGCTTCAAGCTTTATACAGACGGTTTGATCGGGTGCACACGCCTGGCCCTGAGTTAACTTCCGGTCTGTGTTTGTTTATCAGTCTGGCTATGGCTCCGGCTACAAACACAGTTAAAGTTAAGGTGATGAGTAGACTGAAGTTGGGCTCAGGTGGTTGTGCTGTGGGATGTGTTTCCCATACATTTATTTATTTGTGGCGCTTGCCACAATATCAAAACTGACCAGTTTTCCAAAAGGCTTTGTTGAATAAACATGAGCACGTACTGCACGTTTAAAAATCAAAACGAGACGCGGGTGTTTTTATATCACTGTATTTATGAAGGAAGACTATCTTTAGAAAATTTTGATGTCATTTTCATTTAATCTTGCATGTAATGTCTGATAAAGCAGCGTTTGTGAGCGGAGCTCTGCTTTGTGTACAGCCGTTACCGGGGAAACCTCTGTTTCTCCCGCTTTAAAGCACCTCCTGCTGGCAGAGAATGAATTTGTATTTTCAGTAAATCCGTCTGATTTACGCAGCAAACATATTTTGCTTTTTATCAGAAACAATCTACTCTAGAGGGACTATTTAGCTGTTGTTATTGATTCTATTTGGAAGTTATTTACCGGAAGTTAAGTTAGGGCCACAAAAGCGCGCATGCGCAGTAATATTTGTTTATGTTGTTGCCGTTGAAACCGTCTATAACATATGTAATAATGTTATATAAATAATTACAAAAATTATTCCTTATACAGTGAACATTTTAATATGCTTTTAAAATGGGGTTTATGTATAACATTATGTATATCAGGATACTTAATATAAGACAAAAATAAATACAAACAAAAGGTTTATTTAAACATTATACAATAGTAAACTGTGGAGGACAAAATAAACATTTAATTTTAAAAAATATTTAAACTCCTAAAATAACTTATTGGAGTAGTTTGATGCAACTCATTAGGTTTCGCCAAAGAAGATATTTAGTTTTATAAATAAATGTTCATTTAAAAGCAGCCCACGATCAGCGCATTATGTTATCGTTACCCCTTACGGCTCCGATGAGGTTTTGTTCCGTCGTCCACGCTGTGACAACTCACAAAAGACTATTTTTAGCCAAGCAGCGCGGAGAGCTCATAAACACAAGCACTGACTAGAACAGCCGCGAACAGCTCCGGTTCCCGTGGAGCCGTAACGCGCCACAGACGCGTGCAGTGAGGCGCAGATCAGCTCTAACGTCACTGAATCTGCTGTTAAAAATGAACCATCCATTCATCATATCATCATGCAAAACATACACGACAAATAGCGAATTTTTCATTGCTTCTCGAAAATGACTGTGGCGCCAAATCATTGATGCCCCCACACATCATGTACGTCGTCACGCGTTGACGTCATCAAATTGTGATCGGTTCGTTAATGAGTACCGATCGAGTCATAAAATGTGATTATCGGCCGATACCGATCTCCGGCAGATCGATCGGAGCATCCCTAATTAGAAGCAGTGTCTTCATAAGCTACAGTAGACAAATCAATTTTCTTTAATTTTCGGTAGTAAACCTGTGTTTTTTCTTCAGCTGGGGTCAGTGGACAGAAATCAAATGGTGCCCTTCTGGATTCTTGACAGCATTTCAGCTGAGAGTCGAATCTTCTCAAGGAATTGAAGACGACACAGCCGCAAACAACATCAGGTGAGTATGTGGCCGTCATTTACTTTAAGATAGGCAGAAGTACATTTTTAAAAGGCAGTCTTTGCGGTTTAATAAACACAGTCACTAGATTCACCATTTTAATTTGATTAATTGTACAGCACTTGATTTCTTGATCCAGAACGTGCCAAGTTCCGTGACATTCCATGTTATACAATAAAATCTGTTTTAATAACTGGATTCCGAGATTCTGTCTGCATTTTCAAATAATGTTTTTTTCTTCTTTTAAACCTTTTTTCAGATTCAGATGCAGTCGAGGGTCTTTGTTGGAGGGTGACGGCACAGCCTGGGGCGAGTGGGGCTATATGAGCAGAACATGTGAAGGAAAAGCGATTTGTGGCATCATGACACAGGTAGAAGAGCCACAGGGAATGAGAGATGACACCGCTCTCAATGACGCGAGCATGTTATGCTGCGATTAAGGTGATGCAATCACAATCAAACACTCGGATTGTCACATACTGCAGAGCAACTGAGTTTGGTTTTTCTTTCAGGTGTAAGCGGACGACAGCAAGAACAGCTAAAAGATCAGATGGATTGTAATAATTGATTGAATGCAATGATGAGCTAACAAAACTGTGGTATGACACGGTTCATGTAAGTGAAAATGCATATTCAGCTGGTCATTATCACAAAATAAAATACTAACAGGATAATCAAAACCCTGAAAAAAAGCCCAGGTTGACTGGATCATCTCACTTGTTATTTTATTTTTGTGCCAAATATCAGCATTAAAGTGTCTATCTGAGAAGCAACTTGTAGTCTCACATCCTTTATCACAACATTATACATCAGATGTATGATTGCATTAGTGCATGTGGCAGACGGTTCGACCAAAAGTGACTTACAATGCATTCAAAGTCTTATCCATTAATGCTTTTTTTGGAAATGAACAGTGAACTCTACAGGAACACTAACTCATATCCTTCTCGTTACTACTATAGTATGAAATGAACATGAATGAACATCAAAAGTTAGGCTATTTTATAAGATAGCCTAGTACAACTTACTGAAATGTCTCATGTAATCACTTATTCAGTGTTTCAAACTGCGGAAAACGTGTAAAGCTTAAACAGTGCCATGTAACAAAACATTTACCTCAGAATAACCTCTCAGCGTCCATTCAGCTAAAAAATGACTATAAAGATGATCATTTTGCTAATTTATAAATATTAAATATTTAAATATTTGTACTTAATCTGTTGTCTATGATAAGAAAGAATGCAAGGAGCTAAAGGAATTTCAACACCTATAAAATTGCCAGTTACTAAAACAGACTTGATGTGTGCCACTGGGGTTGAAATGCTGTCTCTAGACTGCCTGCACTCACAGCAGCCCTACTCTTTTATTTATTATTTTCTCACAGCCCCACTCGCTGAGTGCAGCCTGCGATAGGGTTGCCAGCCGTCCCATATAATATGTAATCATCCTGTATGAAAGCTATATGGAACGCAGTTTGTCCCGTATTCGCAGGCATACGCTGTATGACCTCCAGACCATATGAATAACAAATTCTCAATTGATCGTTCTTTTTGCACAAATCATTATTTTATTTGTGAATGTAGCCGTTTGAATGCTTTAAGACCAAGCGAAATTCCATAATTCCCTTCACCGTCCGCCTCGTTTTGATTTTGCCAAATCAGTTTGGCGAATGCAAACAACTTATTGATCATGAGCCCAACATCCAGCAAGGCAGGAAAACATTCAATCTACCTGAGGGAAGACGTCGTTCACTATTCTAAGTTCATGCTGTTAAATAGAGAAAAAAAATACATTCACATTTTTTTTTTTTACTTCTAGCGCATTCTTGGACCTCATTATTGAAGTACAAATCCATGCACCAGAAGTAGGCTAGCCCACACTCTCTAAGTTTTCTTTAATTGAAAAATATGCATTTTCATTCATTCAGAGGCTATGGTTGCAATAAAATCTTAGTTCAAAAATGTAAGTGCCATTGTTTAAAAAATGCTTTATTGACTGATGTTTCATAGACCTTCAGTTGGTATGCTTTCAAATTTCATGCCATTTGTATGTAATTTCACAGTATTTTCACCTCCTAAATTACTACACTTGTGCAGTCACAATTCTATAATGGTACAATTTAATCAGGCTAATGACTTTTTTTTTTTTTTTTGTATGACATTAGATTCTTTTTAGAATAATTGTACATAAATAGGTTAAGCTAAACAAATGATTATTTCTGAGAACTTTTTAACTGCAGGCAGCTACACTGGTACAGTACAAATATTTTGAGTGTCCCTTACTCTGTCTCTTATTTTCTTATAAAGAATCACAATTGCCCCTTATTTTCAATTTCTGAAGTTGGCAACCATAATGATGACGTAATTATCTTTTAACTCCTCCGACAGTGGCACCAGCGGCTCAAAAGAACAAAAGCAACAACAAAATGGTCAGTTGTTGGAGATATGCAAGCAAAAAATAATAGATAAAAATGGATATTAGAAAGCGCAAAGGTGGCACTGAAAAGGCCAGTATAAAAAAAGAGGAAGAAAGATATAGAAAAATACAATGAATTAAAGGCTGTAGAGAACAGTGCACTATTGCAGACTTAATATCCTGAGGTTTTAATTACATTATTGTAATATAGTTAGTCGTGAACTAAAGTGGGCCGGTCGAAGACATGAAACTCCAGAGCTGAAAATGAGTCCCACTCAAGCCCTGAAAACACGTGACAACATTTACAGGATGCACTGAGGAGGAGCCCAAACTACACTCAATGGCCAAGTGATGTGATATTGGCACAGTCTCTGTGTAATAAACAATTCTTTGAAACTGTATATTGCTCAAGTTGAAAAAACACATTTAGTTCCCACTTGACATCTACAAAATAGATTAAAATGCTGATAAAGACAAGAAAAGATGAGACAAACACATGACAGTATGACTGCAATGTTAAAAGTGATAAAAAATAAAGAAATTAAACAAGTTTATTCTGTGGTACCTAAAAAAATTATTTGGCACCTAATTTTGTTTCTTATAGGAGCCAGTGGCTCCTTAGTTGATTTTTTGTCTGAAGCCCTGATTTATATACTACAGGCTTAAAAATACAGGTTCTTTGTTGGCATTAATGGTTCCATAATGAACCGTTAACATCCATGAAATATTTCCATTGCATAAAAGTTTCTTTATAGTGCAGAAAGGTTGTTTTAAATATTAAAATATTGTTTTCTTTTTGCTTATTGGTATTATTTCTGTTTTACAGTATCTATTTTTCTTTGAAACCTCATGAAACATTAAAAAGTGTAAAACTATCAAGCAAAGCTGTTTCAGCGAGCAGCATTTGATCTGATCAGTCAATGTTTGTCTAAAGTGTGTTAACATGCAGGCCATTTATTTTAATATTCAAGTTCATTTAGTCATTAAGTTTTGCATTGTTGTCTTGATCACTGACTGGAACAATAATGGGTAACACTTTATTTTGATGGTCCCTTTTGAACATTCTGTTGACGATAAGTAACATTGCATGTCAACTAACTCTCATTAGAGTATTAGTAGACTGTGTGCTTAATATCTGCTAACTCTTTATTGTGATGGTCTCCCAACAGACATTCTACTGAATACAAGTAACTTTGCAAGTACATGTCAACTTAATCTAACCCTAACCCTACCAGTCTACTAATACTCCACTAACACTCTAGTGAGACTTAGTAGATATGTAGGTGCAACGTTACTTATAGTCAACAGAATGTGTTAAAGGGACCATCAAAATAAAGTGAAACCCAATAATGTACTAATAATGTAATAAACACTGATTCTTTAGTTAACTGATCTGAGTTTGCTCTGCAAATATTTATTTCTTCATGCAAAGCATCATATGATCACTGTCAATTTTCTTATTTCTTATTCTAATTCTACATTTCTTATATAGTTTTTCTTATTTCTTAAGCTTCACTTTTGACTGCCCTTGTGTAACTTCCTTTCATTATGTGCACATCATGATCACACCTAGACAAAACGAGAACTAGACCTCGGACACACTGGTGCACCCGTATGATAACGGCAACCAAGCACACACACCCAAAACACACACACACACACACACACACCAGGAACACACACACACACACACACACACACACACGCACACTCATATGTTCATACATGCATCTTAATTGTTGTTATATTTCTTAATATCCATATTGGGTATTTTTGTTACCTCTGATTACTTTGATTGGATGCCAAGGGCATCCTGTATGTTGTTGCATGAATCAGTGTTGTATAAATATGACCTTAATAAAGTTGAGAATTTTATGGTAGTGCACTAGCTCTCTATGTCTGCTTGAATTAATTAATTTAATCAGTACTTTAATCCATCAGGCCAGTGCTGCAGCAATGCATCACTTCATTTCCATGATGTTTTCACTGCTAGTCATTACTGGGCTGCAGGTGAGTGTTGAGTCCACAGGAACACGTTCTGAGCGAAGCTTTAGCAGACATTATAAATCAGAGCTGACTGTGACGAATGGGGGGGGATGGGGGTCGTGGGGTCACAGAGAAATGTGTCCAACTGGAACGTACGCCGCAGGGTTCAGTCTAAAGGTAAGCTGAGAATTGACTTTATAACAGTAGTATGGGGGTGGTTTAAAGTGTAAGCTGGTGACTGAGGGTTGAAGGTTCAAATCCTTAGAAAAAATAAACCCTGGAGTTGCTGTTAGTGATTCAATTCTAGGTGTTTCTAAGGAAACTGCACATGCTCAAGTTTTTGACTGCTTTGCTTAATACTAAAGAAACATGAAGTTGAATGTTACTATGGATTGGGTTAGTCCAGGGATTCCCAGCTCTGTTCCTGAAGGCACACAAACAAACATTTTTGAACAAACTTGATTCAACTAATCAGCTCTTTAGTAGAGACTCCAAGATCTAAAATGGATAGGTCAGATAAGGGAGGCATCCAAAAAGTGTGATGTTGGTGCACCTCCAGGAACACTGGAGGTTGGAGTTAAGATTACTCCTTTTCTCTTTCAAATTTGTCTAAGTGTTGTTGTTTTGTTTTGTTTTTAAGGTGGAAGATCATATTGGTTATGGGGATGATACTGCACTCAACGGGATTCGCCTTCACTGCGTTAAAAAGAATAGTAAAGGCTCCTCAAACTCGTATCACAGCTACGCCTCAGTTCATTCAGATGTAGGCAGGTAATGGGCTAAAGAGTCTAAAGAGTAATAATGTAGTTTGCAGTTATTAAGAATTGTTACGTTAAGAGTCAGTTTCTTCATAAGCTAGACAAATGAATTTTCTTGAAAATAATGATTGGTTTGATCAATAAAACTTAGTTTTTTCTTCAGCTGGGGTCGGTGGACTGATATCAAATGGTGTCCTTCTGGATTCTTGACTGCTTTTCAGCTGAGAGTCGAAAGCCCCCAAGGACCTGGTGACGATACGGCCGCAAACACCATCATGTGAGTTTGTGCTTTTGTGCTGTGCTAAAAATCCTTTAACCTAATTTGGTGCTCTAAAATGACCAGTCTTTTAAAAATTGCTTGTAAATCACCCAATATTATCACCAAATCTCAGATTAAATCTTTTTGTCAATTTGTTTTCTTTCAGATTTTGTATTTCTTTTTAGAACTGACTGATTGTAGGCCTCACTGATCTGTGTTTATGCACCTCAGTACTAGAGTAAAAAAAAAAAAAACATTATTTGTGGATAATTTGGAAAATATTCACTCAAGTTTACTCAAACTTAGCTGAGTAGCCATTGAACCAGTTTTGTGCTACAGGCCTTGCAAATTCCAAGAGTTTTGCCTTGTTTTGTTAGTATTGATTGAAACAACATATTTTATCATAATGTTGTCACACCCAAACTGATCAATAAAACTGTGTTTTTTCTTCAGCTGGGGTCGGTGGACTGATATCAAATGGTGTCCTTCTGGATTCTTGACTGCTTTTCAGCTGAGAGTTGAAAGCCCCCAAGGACCTGGTGACGATACGGCCGCAAACAACATCATGTGAGTTTGTGCTTTTGTGCTGTGCTAAAAATCCTTTAACCTAATTTGTTGCTCTAAAATGACCAGTCTTTTAAAAATTGCTTGTAAATCACCCATTATTATCACCAAATCTCAGATTAAATCTTTTTGTCAATTTGTTTTCTTTCAGATTTTGTGTTTCTTTTTAGAACTGACTGATTGTAGGCCTCATTGATCTGTGTTTATGCACCTCAGTACTAGAGTAAAAAAAAAAAAAACATTATTTGTGGATAATTTGGAAAATATTCACTCAAGTTTACTCAAACTTAGCTGAGTAGCCATTGAACCAGTTTTGTGCTACAGGCCTTGCAAATTCCAAGAGTTTTGCCTTGTTTTGTTAGTATTGATTGAAACAACATATTTTATCATAATGTTGTCACACCCAAACTTCTCCCAGGTTCACATGCAGTCGAGGGTCTTTACTGCAGGGTGATGGCACACACTGGGGCGATTGGGGCGACTGGAGTCAAACATGTTACGGAAAAGGGATTTGTGGTATCAAGACACGGATTGAAGAGCCGCAGGGCATTGGAGATGACACCGCTCTCAATGACGTGCGCATGTACTGCTGCGCTTAAGGTGATGTGAACGCAATCAAACACTTGCAGAGCTGTTTGGAAGATCTCAGTTATGTTAGTGCTGGCTTATCTGAGTTTGGCTTTTCTTTCAGGTGTTAGAGGACCACAAGAACAGCAAGAAGATGAGATGGATCATAATAACTGATCAGCTTACTGTTATAAGCTCACATTAACCATGTCATACAACAGCCAGACCAGTCAAGTTCTTCCACACTGACTCAGTCAATCATTTCTTTTTGAATCTTGCCTTATACACAGAGGCATTGTCATGCTAGAATAGAAAAGGGTCCTGTCCCAACGGTTGCTATAAAATTAGAAGCACACAATTCCCTACAATATCATTATATGCTTTTACATTAAGATTTGCACTCTTCGAAATTACTAAAGTAGTCAAACCTGTTCATTAGAAGGGTGTGTCCCAATACTTTTGGCAAAAAAGTGTATGTGCCCGTACATGCATCTTAAAGGGATAGTTCACCCAAAAATGAATATTTGATGTTTATCTGCTTACCCCCAGGGCATCCAAAATGTAGGTGACTTTGTTTCTTCAGTAGAACGCAAACGGAGATTTTTAACTCAAACCGTTGCAAGTGCAAGAAACTGAACAGTATTTATATCGTTTTTTACCTCTGATTTTATAAGTGCATTACCGCCACCTATCTCTCAAAATGGACCATTGACACTCCTAATTGAGATTGTAGATAGAGTGTCAATGGTCCATTTGAGAGATAGGTGGCGGTAATGCACTTATAAGTCTGCGATCCGCCGTAAAGCAAGAAGAAGAAGAAGACACGTCACGCGCCGGTTATCGAGGACGCGCTCAGGACAGTTCAGACATTGCGGTGAAAATCAGAGGTATTGTTTGTGTTTTTTTTTTACTCTCAAAGCCGTGATTCCCATCCACTGACATTAGAGGACTGACAGACTGCAACAGTTTGAGTTAAAAATCTCCGTTTGTGTTCTACTGAAGAAACAAAGTCACCTACATCTTGGATGCCCTGGGGGTAAGCAGATAAACATCACATTTTCATTTTTGGGTGAACTATCCCTTTAAATGTTGTTATATTTCTTAATATCCATACAGGGTATTTTTTGACCTCTGACTACTTTGATTGGAGGCTGAGGACATCTTTTATGTAATTGTATGAATCTGTGTTGTATAAATATGGCCCATCTTCCTTAATAAAGTTGAGAATGTTATGGTACTACACTTAGTGGTTGATCCGTGATCCGTACGGACCAAGCCCCACGGTTCGGCATGCATGTGATCCGCGGATTAATTGCAAAATTTAACCATAATAGAGTATAAGTTTATCATTTGTTCGTATTTACACAAGCAACCGAATTTTAAACAATTCCAGAGAGAAAAGGTGAAAGGGAACTCGAACTTCTCTATGCGCACAGCCGCACACACATGAAGCGCGCACACCGAACTGAATCCTCTTCTGAATCCTCTGAACAGACACATACACATAAAATTATGACAAAATACCCATCTCGACAATCATTCAGGTAAACACAGTCAGTTATATCTCAAGTGAATGAAAACAGCTGAGAAAGAAATCGGATGTGAAGTGTATCATTATATCGGATCTGTGCATCAGGTCACAATCTCTTTTCTTGCTGATCCGAAAAATGATCCGATCCGTGGGTCAAAAACCGTAATGTGATCCGAACCGTGAGATTTGTGATCCGTTGAACCACTAACTACACTAGCTCTCTGTGTCTGCTTGATCAATTAATTAATTTGTATCAGTATTTTAATCCATCAGGCAAAGGAATTGGAGACGACACGGCCGCAAACAACATTGTGAGTATGTAGCAATATAAATCATGTTTTCCATTTAAGTCACATCTGAATTTTCTCCAGGTTCAGATGAGGTCAAGGGTGTTTGCTGCAGGGTGACGGCACACACTGGGTGACCGGAGCCCACTGTGTCCAGGAAAAGGGACACGGATAGAAGAGCCACAGGGAATTAGAGACGACACCGCACTCAATGAAGTGCACATGTTATGCTGCAATTAAGGTAATGCAATCACAATCAAACACTTGGATTGTCACATACTGCAGAGCAAGTTTTTTTTTTTCAGGTGTAAGAGGACGACAGCAAGAGAATCAAAGGTGATAACGCACAGTCAGCCAGTCATTTTCACAAAATAACACCTTACAAGACAATCAAGACCCCTCAAAAAAGCTGAGGTTGACTGGCAGTGAAGCTTCCATGAACCAAAAGAAGTTTCTTTATAGTAGAGAAAGGTTAATTCAATTAGTGAAATGTTGTTCACACTAACAAAATTTTTTTCTTTTTGGAACAATTACTTGGAATCACTGGGGAAAAAAAGACTTCATTTTAAGAGTATAACATGTACGCATATTAAAATGTCTTCATTTAGCTTGAGATTGCACAATGCAATCTATTGGCAAAATATTACAGTACCCATAATCCTGAATAGAGATCTCCCAATTAGAATCACTGAAAAATGGATACAGTGTCATGTATCACACACATTTCAATCATATCACCTATTCATCCTGCATGATATTTGTGATCAGATCCAGATGATTGCTACTTGCGGCTATATTTTTGATGTTATTGTTTCATCAGCTGGAAACGGAAGAACATGACCAGGGACACTGAGAGTCATGTGACCTCATTGCTCTTGTATCATGAACTCAAGTTCAGTGTTGATTTATGCTTACAGTTTCTATTAAATATCAATATTGAGAACTCATCAATCAAAGCTATTCCAATCAAAGAGCACATGCTTTTACTGGCAATGAGCAGCATTTGAGCTGATTCTGTTAACATGCAGATCATCAACATTTTAGCTTTGCATAATTTGTCTGAATATTGGCCGGAACAAAAACAAGGATAAACAGATCTGGCTTACTTCAGGAAAATGAAATGTAAGCAAACCTGTAAGCAAATGCCCGGAATTTATTTTAGGGTGAGTCTAATGTTCTCTGTTGCTTAATATTTCTGTCTTAAAGGGTTCATATGATGTTGCTAAAAATAACATTATTTGGTGTATTTGGTGTAATGAAATGTGTTTATGCGGTTTAAGGTTAAAAAAACACATTATTTTCCACATACTGTACATTATTGTTTCTCCTCCATTATCAACATGGATATTAAAATCACCAACTATTAAAACTTTATCTGCAGCCAGCACTAAGTCGGATATAAAATCAGCACATTCTTTCATAAAGTCTGTATGGTGCCCTGGTGGCCTGTATATAGTAGCCAGTACAAACGACATGGGGGATTTATCATTAACACTTGTTTCTCTGGACAATGTTATATGAAGCACCATTACTTCAAACGAGTTATACTTGAAGCCCGCCTTCTGAGAAATACTGAAAACATTGTTATAAATTGAAGCAACACCTCCCCCTTTACCTTTTGGATGTAGTGTAGTGTAGTAATTTAGGAGGTGAAAATACTGTGAAATGACATACATACAAATGGCATGAAACTTGAAAGCATAACAACTGAAGGTCTATGAAACGTCAGGGTTTTTTTAAACAATGGCACTTTAATTTTTTTACTCAAATTTTAGTGCAATCATATAGCCTATGAAGCGGCAGCAGCCGGCAGAGGATTTTGCTTGCTCTTAAAGCCTTCCTCAAACATCTACATTCACAAATAAAACTATGATTTTTGCAAAAAGAATGATTAATTATCAACTGAGAATTTGTTATTCATATGGTCTGGTGGTCATACGGCGTATGCCTGTGAATATACGGGACAAACTGCGTTCCGTATAGCTTTCGTACGGGACGCTTCTTTGATCCCTTAAATTCGGGACATTTCTATATTATACGGAACGGTTGCAACCCTATCGCAGGCTGTACTCTGCGAATTGTAATTGTTTAAATGAATGTACAGACACAGTATGTTATTTACAAGTGTGCTGAGTCTGCTGACTCTAGACTCAAGATAAGCATACAGGTATTTTGCTGGATCAGTGTTTGTGTTTTTGTGTGTTCATTTACATACAGGTTGTTGATGTGTTCATCTGTGCTCCTGGCTGCTGATTGGCTAGAACCAGATATCACCGTATTGATAAACTGTATAAATGCATTCTGAAGCAGCTGTGAAAGAATCAGGCAGATTCTGCTGACAGACCACAGAGAGTTCAGAAAGGTTTCTTGTTCTGGATTTGAAGAAACTGTTCCTTAGAGCAGTCTTACTGGCTCTGGTTCAGTTTTAATTTACAAACCAAACAGAATTAAAAAAATGCTGGGTTAAATACAACCCAGTGCTGGGTAAAATAGGGACAAACCCAGCAATTGGGCTGTTTTGACCCAGGGGTTGGGTTAAATGTTTAGCATTTTTTAGAGTGTATGATTTAAAAATGTGCATGTAATGCCTTTTTTTTCCCTGCTTTTTTTACGATCACATAATTTGTTATGTTGACGTAATAAACTGAGACAATGCACATCAAAGTTTTGGTGAGAAAACGACCAGCGCTAACGGTGCACTTGCTAAAAGCAGATCTGGTTGTGGCATTGGTGGTGTTGTGATAATACTGTATACCGTGATAAAGCTTTAGCAATTATTGCAACATGAAAATCTGATAGCGTCACAAGCCTAGCTCCCACTTTAAGTGAACCTTAGTTCCCAGGATATCTACAGTATAAGATGGATTAAAATGCTGATAAACGCATGAAAAGATGAGACCAACACTTGTATGACTAATGTTAAAGTGTTAAATTATAAAAAGAGAAAATTTATTCTGTGGCACTTAAATTTTTTTTTTAGGTGCAAGTCAAATAGCAAGTTCCAAGAGTTTGTTTTGCCTTGTTTTGTTGGTACTGATTGAAACAACATTTTATCATGTTTTTACACCCAAACTTCTCCCAGGTTCAAATGCAGTCGAGGGTCTTTACTGCAGGGTGACGGCACACACTGGGGCGATTGGGGCGACTGGAGTAATACATGTGAAGGAAAAGCGATTTGTGGTATCAAGACGCAGATAGAAAAGCCACAAGGACGAGGAGATGACACCGCTCTCAATGACGTGCGCATGTACTGCTGCGATTAAGGTGATGTGAACGCAATCAAACACTCGGATCACAGCTGTTTGGATCTCAGTGATGTTAGTGCTGGCTTATCTGAGTTTGGCTTTTCTTTCAGGTGTTAGAGGACAACAACAAGAACAGCAAGAAGATCAGATGGATCATAATTGATCAGCAAACTGTTATGAGCTCACATTAACCATGTCATACAACAGCTAGTCAAAAAATAAA